TAATTATAGACTAGTAATTTTCCACTAACAGATGTTAGGCTGGCTAGTCTATAATTCACTCTCTCCTCTTTCTTAACCAGGGTCATGACATAGACAAATTTCTAATATAAAGTTCCAACCCCTGAATGGTGAAAATTTTGAAAAAGCACGGTTAGAGTATCTGTAATCGTCCTCAGTTTGTTTCTTTTAAAACCGTGGGGTGGAAAACTCCTGGGCCTGTCACAATTCAGTGCCTGACTCTTAATTGGCAAATGCCATTTTGGTGAGTCAACCACCCCTGACGTAACATTAGGTCCTAAGATACTCGAGGAGCGGAAGAGATCATCTACGCTCGGTTCGCAACAAACAACTGCACCTCCCAGTCGCGAACCATTTCAACTCCCCCTCCCATTCCTCAGACGACATGTCCATCCTGGGCCTCCTGCAGTGCCACAACGATGCCACCCGAAGGTTGCAGGAACAGCAACTCATATTCCGCTCGGGAACCCTGCAGCCCAATGGTATCAATGTGGATTTCACAAGTTTCAAAATCTCCCCTCCCCCCACCGCATCCCAAAACCAGTCCAGCTCGTCCCTGCCTCCCTAACCTGTTCTTCCTCCCACCTATCCCCTCCTCCCACCTCAAGCCGCACCTCCATCTCCTACCGACCAACCTCATCCCGCCCCCTTGACCTGTCGGTCCTCCCTGGACTGACCTATCCCCTTCCTAACTCCCTACCTACACTCACCTTTCCTGGCTCCATCCCCGCCTCTTTGACCTGTTTGTTTCCTCTCCACCTATCCTCTCCTCCATCCCTCTTCTATCCGCCTCCCACTCTCTCCCTATTTATTTCAAAACCCCCTTCCCCTCCCCCTTTTCTGATGAAGGGTCTAGGCCCGAAACGTCAGCCTCTCTGCTCCTATGATGCTGCTTGGCCTGCTGTGTCCATCCAGCCCTGCACCTTGTTGTCTCAGATTCTCCAGCATCTGCAGTTCCTACTATCTCTGATCTAATATTATGACAACATAACTGAAGTTGAAACTGAAAATGGGTGGGAAAAAAAATAAGAATTTGCTAAGTTGCTGGTAGAGCAATATCCATAACATCCGGCACCACTGAAGTGCGAGAAAACGCCATGCAGACAGTCACCCAATTTAAGGTCAAAAAACAGAAATTGCTTTTGTTTCTGATTTACAGCATCCGCAGTACTTTTGGTTTTTAACCTACTTCAAGGTATTTACGGCGTCCCAACTTGTGGGGCACTTTGGGATCATGAATTCCTGCAGCTGCCATCAAGCCTGGATAGAGTGTTAGCGGCTGTGCGGCCCCTTTAAGTCCTCGCGCCTTTTTTCAAATGAGGAGGGTCACCTAACGGACAGATTTCGCCGCACGCCCCTGGACGGGGGCGACCCTCACATTTCTACTTACACCCGTCCCCACCCGCCATTCAACAGCGGTTGAATCCCGCCGACTTTCACTCTGGGATCCGCGGCGTCAAACTGGGACCATACCGGGTAAAGGCATTCGTGTTCATCAGTCAAAGCAAGACAGTTTATTTCTAAAAATTAACGTGTTCTGATAAAACTGCGGGCTAGGGCAGATGGGATTTCGACTGAGTCCGCCCGGCCGTAAAGGTGGCGTCAAACCACTGTACCACAAATGACCTGGAATCGTAGAGTCCCTGGAGTGGGGAAGCAGGCCATTTGGCCCATCCAGTCCACACCGACCCTCCGAAAAGTATCCCACCAAAACCCAACCCACTACCCTGTCCCTGTAACCATGCATTTCCCATGGCTAATCCACCTAACCTGCACATCCCTGGACACTATGGGCAATTTAGCATAGCCAATCCACCTAACCTGCACACTGTGGGCAAATTAGCATCGCCAGTGCACCTAACCTGCACATCTTCGGACCTCTTAGACTTTGGCTTTTAAATCAACGTACACCTTCATGGTCATCACATCCTGAGGTGGGATATGACCCCAGATTTTCTGGCTCTTCAGATACGGTGCTGATGGAAGTGGAATTGGAAGAAAGACACCTGAAGGGCAACGGATTAGATAGAAGCCCACCATTAAACATTCTGTTCAGTGAAATGTGGATTCACCAGAAAGTGTATGATGTAGGAGCAATTATAGAGACTTGGTCCAAACTGGGTGTGGTTGGACTTCTTACCTGAGGAAAGTCATTCAGGAATGGTGTATGAGGAGAGATTGGATCAGTTAGGACTATATTCACTGGAGTTTAGAAGAGTGGGATGGGGGTTTCATAGAAACTTATAAAATTCTAATAGATTAGACAGGGCAAACAAATGGCAGCAACAGTAACAACAGCCCTGAGTTTATTGGGACATGCCAATGTTGTTTAATGTTAAACCATTTTACCCATTTTGTTAGGTACCTGATCTGGAGCATCCTTCTGCTCCATTGTTTGGTCCTCTTGAAGGCTCCAGCTGATGGTGCTAAACATATTACAAATGCATTAGCACTTTGAGCAGTGCATCTTGAAATGCAGCTGGGACTGGCAAGGCTGCTACTGCAGCAAATTCTTAGTTGTCACAAGGTGCTGGTGGGCCACTTAAACCATTGTAATGGCCTGCCCACAATGGTGTAAGGTGAGGAGTTCTTTGACCCAATGACAATTTGGAATCAAGATTTCTCTGCAAATCAGGATGATGTTTGCCTTGGAAGGGAACGTTATGGTGTTCCCATAATAGTTTTGCACTTTCCCTTCTCCACGCCAGGGCTTGTGAAAGGGAGTTGGAATTGTGATACAAGACTTCCTTAATGTGGACATACCCATCTACATAAGTGGTGAATATCCATTAAATACACTTACCTTGAGTCTCATAAATGAATGGCGTGGAGGCTTTGAATTGTCAGAGAGAAAACTCCTTGTCACACACCACCCATCTTCTGCCCTGCTTGTCACATGGTATTCAGCTATGGTATTCAGCAGGGATCGCCAAGTGAGAAATTCTGCAGTGGCCATACCATTGGAGATCTGACAGAAATTACTGAACTTTCTTTTATTGGAGATGCTCATTATCTGGCACTAAGTGGTTAGGAATGTTACCTGCCACTTTTTAGCCAAAGCTTTGAACAGTTTAGGCTGGTGTGAGCTTCTTTGTGAGTTGTGAATGCAGCCAAACACTGTAGAGTTATCAGCAAGTAGCCCTATGTCTGACCTTATAACAGAAGGTGGCTCATTAATGAAGCAGTCGAAGATGATTGGTCAAAGAGTGAATAACTCATGCAGTGAAGTCTTGGAGCTGAGATAGTTGGTCTCTAATTTTCCGTTCAGCCATTTTCCTTTCTGTAATGGTGTGACTCCAATACTGAGGGAGTTTACTACTAATTCCCATTTTTTTGCCATTTTGGTGGTGCTCCTTGGTTAAATATGGTCACATGGTCTTTTGTTGAAAGGGGCAGTTCGATCTTCTCTCTTCTGACATTCAGCTGATGCTTGTGATGAGATCTGGACCCAAGTCTAATCCTAATGCTAACCTTAACCCTACCTGAAATGAAGGACCAATGAGGAGGTGTCAATGACACTGTCTTGCTTGATAGTACTGTTGATGTCCCCTTTCACCATTTTACTGGTCATTGGGTAGTAACTGGTTGTGTTGGAATTGTCTTAATTTTTGTAGCTTGCATAAACCTGGGCAATCTTTTGACCTGTTAGATAGCTGTATTTGAGTAGTGTAGCTAGCAGCAGAACTCGCACTGGCTCATATTCTTAGTATTTTAGTTGGAATGTTACATGATCTGATAACCTCTGTACCCTTCCAGTGTCCTCACCCGCTGGAGCAAACCAGACTGGCTGAATATTGGCAACCTCTAGTGACAGACAAGTTGCACCTCACAATTTTGCTAAATTCCAAATAAGAATCCAGCCTTGTTCCTTACACCCACATGTTAGAATCCATCCTGGTTGAAGATGGTGATGTCCATCGCAATGTGACTATCCTGAATTTTCCAGGACTGTCCAGGTCTTGAGGCCCATCTCTTTGTTTGACCCCTACAGGGACACTACTTGTCCAGTAATTTCTGTTCACACACCTTTCCCTGAAGCACACCACACCACCTCCCCAAAATCTCTCATCAGCTTTGGTAGTAATAATGCTTCCAGTCCAACACCAAAGTGACCGTCATTACCATGAATTTCACCCTGATTCATGGAGCATCCTCCTTAATTAACATTCTTTATTGCCTGTGACACTGTTGGGGATATTGACCTTGGTTTGTATTCATATTCTACTGCTTTTTACTTACTGCTGAATATCTTATACTCTGTATTATCTGTTATACAGGTTTTCTAGTTGCACAGAACTGGAAAATGCCTTAGTAATTAAATATATTGCATAAAACAGTAATGATTTGTGCAGTTTCGATCTCTGATCTTTGCAGGGTTAAGCTAAGACCAGGCAGTGATAAGGAAACCGCCACAGGAACTAATAGCCCTGATAGCGGAGAAAAGAAAGAAAATCATCCAGATTTCCAATCCTGGTTAATGTCCAATGACCCTTACTGGAAAGTATAAGTCTATGAACATCAGTTAAAAGTGACTTGTGGCTCAGAATACTTGTTTCCACAGTCATGCAGTCACCCACAGTTGCTGCTGACTAGTGATGAATAGCCGCTTGGCCAAGGTATGAAGAGCTGTTGATTCACGTGGAGCCATGTAACACGAATAGAAGAAAATACAACAGAGAATAATTAGACTCAGTTACTTCTGCTGATCGAAGTAAGAATGTCTAGCAATACATCAAACAGAATGTTTTCAATAGAATTCAACAGTGTTAAACCATTTTGGCTTGTGTCGTGATTTCTCAGGAGCACTGTACTGCAAATCAGATCAAGTATGGACAGGAGATGTTCCTTTTGGTTTATGATGACAGGAAATTGGCTTTTTACATCAGTGTCATATTTGCTTCAGAGGGCAATTACATCTCTGTCAAAAAGCAACGCTAAACATCTGTGGTGACATCCTGTTTCTGATCATTGCCTCTGCACAGAACTCCTTCAAGTCTTCAAGTAGAAGGAAAAAGAGGACATCATTGAAGAGAAAAACCAGCAGGAAAGGAGCAGACGTGAGTCAGGCCAAGGAACTGGTTTATACTTAATTTTAGAGAGAGGATTGCCTCAAGGGGTCCCAATAAAAGCCACAATTTTAACTTCCCTTTAAGGCCTTATGTTTTACATACATTGCTTAAACCCGGGGAGTTATTGAGTCACATGGTTTGGGGGAGCTAAATTAACTCCAGAAAGGATACAATCATTAAACAAAGGGTTACTAAATCCAAGAAGAGATGTGACCATTAATTGAAGGGCAGTATACCCAGTGCAAGATAGAACTATTAATCCAAAGCACACTGTGTCCATTAAGAGGGAGTTTTTAACCCTAGGGTACTATGCTGTTTATGTAAGAAACTCTTCATCCAGCAATTATCAAACCCAACCATGCAAGACATCTGAATTGACTTCAATAAGAAAAACAGCCATTAATCCCTGGAATTTCTTGAGGCTTTTAGAAAGTGGCATATCTTAACAAGCTATCATTTAGATGTCTGGGGTGTCATTCTAACTGGTAAACGTTTAGATGGTTTAGGGGTGTTAAATAGATCACTTCCAGGCAGTAGAACATCACAGCCCAATAACATTCTAAGTTCTAACTGCCTGAAGCTCCCTCAGAGACTCCCCTGCTCTCCTCATGTAATTTTGATGGTGTTTGATTGTTAAAAACATGTCCATAAAGAGGAGGTATCCACCAACATTTTTGACAGGAACACGAAGGAAAGAAACAATTCCCCATGCCAAGGTTAGATCTAGAGTCTGAACCAGTTACTTTAAACGGGAATGTTAGTCTGGGAGGGAGTGCTGTTTAATTAATCTCCCTTTACCATTTCTTAAAATACATGTGCCTTCATAAATAGCATGGCAGAAAAGAAAACACATACAATTCAACTCCTTGTTGGATCATCTTGTCTGCAGCAGGCATAGCAAGTGCAGTGTTTCACTTGCATTCAGCATCTTTGGCCAGTCCACATTCCTAATTCTTATCATGATTCAGGTCTACTGCACGTCCACAGGACTACTCAACAGCAGTGAGACCTGATGACAAGGAAGCAGACATAACCTGAAATCCCCCAGACAGCTATGACATGCACTTTTAGGTTTACTGAGATTGTTTTATAACCCATCTGACCACAGCTCTTACCCTGCAGGCCACTTCCCATCAAGGTGACAAATTTTCTGTTTACTTCACTGGTGCAAAGGAACTACTGCTGTGTAACACCTCTGCTGGAATTTGTAATCCAAGTTTTTTGGCTGCCCAAGTAACACATTGAGTGCATGTTGGGTGAGAACAGCATCGGGCTTGGCTGTGATATCCCCCTTGGCCAATGAACCTGCCCACACACTGTCAAGATCTGCACATGAGGGTAATGAAGTACCAAAGGATGCACAATACCTGTGCCAAGGTGACTGAAAAATGAAGGGAGAAACTTTGTGAGGAGATGGTGGTGGGGAAGTGGGATGTGATTTGGGGCAAATGGCACTGTACACATCTTTGTGATATTGAGGGGATGAGGGTGAAATCTACTCAGGTTTCACATTAAGGGTTGACAGTGTGCAGAGCATGTTGGCCTCCCACAGCTCATGGTGGTACATGTACATGTATAATTTCAGTTGGGCAGGGCAGCTACTGGATCGTATACAGTGCCGCCTAGTTCCCATTTGGAGGAGGCTTACCTTGATTAATGCCTTGAGTCTTGTTTTTACAGGAAAGCAAATGGAAGCCATTTATAATCAAGCCCATCTCATCACCCTTAATGAAACCACTTCTGGTGTTTGTAAACCCAAAGAGTGGCGGAAACCAGGTTAGTTGGAGGACTAAAGAAGGGCATGGGGCAGTCACTAGAATTGATCTATCCACCAGCTCACTCATCAACTCAATATCCACATAGTAATTCACCGCTGCTGGATTGATTCTCATTTTAACACACTGTTTTACAATTCTGCGTGGCATGAACACTTTCTCAAAAGCAACTACATATTGGAAAAAATCACTGGACCAGCCATTAATACCCACATCCCACAAGTGAATTAAAACATATGTGTATTTGCTTCTGGCCCTATAGAAAGCATACCAGGCAGCATTTGTGATCAAGAAATGGTATTTGCCCACGTAATTTTCCACCTAATATTAATTGTCTTACTGTGGGTTGCTGGATTGATCTCTGTATGGACTAGACAGGTTTTCGAAGCTGCCTCCCTTTCCATTGTGTGGCACAGGCTGAGTCTGGTGCAAAGTTCAAGATTTAATGTTTTGTTACGCCTCCTCCCAAATCAATTGGCTTTTGAAATGTCCCTGTGGAACCTCCACAGGGGTAACTTCCTGTTGGCTGTGCTCAGAGGAGTGTGTCACACTGTGTCTATCAGTGTGTGTGTGAGACTGTCGTGTGTGTGATGCGTGGTGAAGGGATCAGGAAGGGTCTCTGGAAAAGAGCAGGTGAAGTCCCTGGTCTTTCCATTTGAAGGCCCTCCAACCACAAAGAAGAGTAAACTCTGTTGATGGGGCTCTTATCTGAATTTCCTGCACCGCCTCGTATTTTTGCCATTCCAGATCTTGACCACCAAAACAGGTCAGTTTCTAGTCTTCTGCATAATAAACATATATGTAGAATCTTTAAATATTACTTCTTCTGACAACATACTTTAAAAGTCATCAATATTCAGCTCTATTTGAGTGGTTGGAAATGAAGATGCACTTAAGTTAATGACTGTAAAAAGAAAGGAAGTGTGACAATATTCCACGTAAGAGATTCGCATATAAAATTAAAGCACATGGGACTTGGGTTGGTGTATTCACATGGATAGAGAACTGGTTGGCTTACAGGAGACAAAGCGTGTAAAGAAACGTGTTTATCTCCAAGTGGCAGCCAATGACTAGGGAGGTCTCTCAGGGATCAGTGCTGGGACCCCAGCATGATTTAGATGAGGGAATTACGTGTCATATCTTCAAGTTTACTGATGACAGAAAGCTGGGTGAGAGGGTGAACTGAGGAGGTGCAGAGACACTTTAGTGTGATTTGAGCAAGTTAAGTAAGTGGGCAAAAACATGGCAGATGCAGGATATTGCATACAAATATGAGGTTGTACACTTTGGTAGCAAAAATAGGCAAGCAGATTATTATTGGAATGGCGATAATTGAGAAAGGGGAAAGTGCAACAATATCTGGGTACATCAGTTGCTGAAAGTAAGAATGCAGGTGCAACAGACAGTGAAGAATGCAAATTGTATGTTGGCCTTCATAGCAAAACGACTGGAGTACAGGAGCAGCAACGTCTTGCTGCAATTGTACAGGGCATTGCTGAGATCACAACTGGAATATTGTGTGCAGTTTTGGTTTCCTTATCTGAGGAAAGCTGTTCTGGCTATGGAGAGAGTACAAAGAAGATTTACCAGACTGATTCCTGTGATGGTGGGACTGATGTACAGGAATAGACTGGATTGCTTAGGACTAAATACACTAGAGTTTCAAAGAATGAAGTGGGTAGGGTTGATCCCATAGAAACCTATAAAATTGTAACAGGAATTGACCAGGTAGATGCAAGAAGGAAGTACTCAATGACCAGGGAGTGCAAGACCAGGATAAAGGTTAACCTTCTAGGACAGAAATAAGGAAAATTTTCTTCACCTAGAGAGTTGTTAGCCTATGGAATTCTCTATCACAAGAAAGTGATGATATCGAAACATCAAAGACTTTCAATAAAGATTCAGATATAGTTCTTAGGGCTAAAGGGATTAAAGGGTATGGCGAGAAAGCAGGAACAGGGTGTTGAGTCGGATGTTCCACCATGATCAATTTGAATGGTTGAGCAGGCTTGAAGGCTGAATGGCTTACTCCTGCTCCTGTGTTCTATATTTCAACGATATGTCACTTTAGTGTGATTGTAAAGTGTCAACTTGACTCGGATGACTGTGTCAATTCCCAGGTTACAGGTTTACCGGTAATACACACCATTAATAAACCCCATGCCTCTCTGTTCTGATACAGTTTTGGGCATTTCTTCCATGAACTGGGGCACTGAAGATGCAACTGCTGGGCTGTCTAGAGGATAGGTCTGGAACTGGCACATTTGTGACTTGAAGGTTGTATATGGCTCTTCCTATTTGACCAGGCATTCTGTCAAAGGAACTGATGAATGCTCATCATTGGCCTGGCTCTTCACTGTCTTTTGCTGTTTTGTTATTTATACCTTTTCACTGGGTTGTTTTTTTTCTCTTCTACTCTCAGGGGCCTAAGGTGCTCCAGATGTTCATGTGGTGGCTAAACCCACGGCAAGTCTTTGACCTCTCACGTGGAGGACCAAGAGAAGCGTAAGTGAAGATGACCCATGCATTATCAACATCCATGTATTATCTGTATAGAGTTGAATGGACTTTGGCTTAAATATATTTGGCATCTAAATACAGCGTCTACCTACAAATACTACTGTCAATACTATTTTTTTTTGTATCAGGTATTTTGTGGAGTGCTACTTTGCTGTTCATTCTCTCAAAAAGACCTCTATCGCTGATGAATGTGAATGCAGTTTTTAACATGGTATCTAGTTAAGAAACTAAAGTACTGTGGAGATCTGAAATAAAAACAGAAAGTGCTGGAGAAAATCAAATCTGGTAGCATCAGTAGAGAAAGAAACAGAGTTAACGTTTCGAGTCCAGTATGACTCGTCTTCAGAATTGAAAGAGGCTGGAAAATGATCAGGGGAACTAGTGGAACAGATAGTGAGGGTGCCTATGGCAAAAGTCAAAGTGAGTGGCAGTGGTAACAGGAAAGCAATATAGATGAAGAATAGATGTTAATGGTAGATGGTAATAGTAGAAAAGAAGGTCTACTCCCCCTTTGGTTATTCCTCCATTCATCGTCCACAGAAACCACAGACCTGCTGAGTTTCTCCAGAACTTTTTTTTTGTTTTAGTTAAACAACTGCCTGACTTACAAATTGCATAATACAGGACTGGCTGACAGTACCACCCAGTGTAAGATTAACTATGCTACCATCTGCATTCTCAGATGGAAGAAGGGACATGGATAAGTATTCAACACAATTCAGGAAAGGATTTAATTTATACAAATTATATCAATGAACAGAATATAGTTTTCACAGAAATTGATCACGGATAATGGTTCAGGTACCATACTGGCAATCAAGAACCTGGTAACTGTCTATTAATTGTATTCAGTTAGTGGTTATTAATTGGGGGAGCTACCCTGTGCTTACATGTGCAGTAACAGGTTGGAAGAGTATTTGTTAGTTGGAGCTGTGTAACATGCAATGTGTCGGACTGTCTGTAAATGAAAGCTTACAAAGTTAACCTAACCTTCACTGGTTGGCTATCTGAGGTTTACTAGAAGTCATTGACACTACACTTGGATCAGTCATGCCAATTTTCTGGGTGCTATGCATGTCCTTGGTTTACCCATGGTGTGGTCACACATCTCTAGTATGACTTGTGCTGCACTCTACACTGGTGATGTCATTAGTAAAAGTGTAGGGAGATCCCACTGGACATAGGCAGCGTGGAGGAGAATCTTACACCAATCATTAGTTCGGATGCTGCTGCTGCCTTTTTGGAGCTGAACCCTCCAGCTATTGCCCTCTCTTATTCTCAGTCAGATAAACAGACAGCAGATATAGCACACACAGCCAATGCTATATAAAGGGATCTTGATTATTAGCAGGTTAATTATTGATGATTTTCAATTGGCTATTGCAATATTTGCGTACAGGTTTGGTGCTTCCTAGTCTTCTCAAGAGGTACTAAAGTTCACAGGGAATGTGGCAGCTCCAGATAGACACTTCACTTCAAAATTTCCTCACAGATTAGGGGCAATCTTGGTGTATGTGGTATAGTCACTGCATTAGTAATCCAGCAATAATGCCCTGGAGACACACATTCAAATTTTACCATGATATCTGATAGGATTTCAATGCATAAATCTGTAATTTAAAGCTATTCTCAATGACTGGTGACCATGACAACAATCACTGATGGTTCCAAGAACCTGTCTAGTTCAGGAATCCCCTTTGGGGATAGAAATCTGCTGTCCTTACCCAGCCTGCCTACATATGACTCCAGATCTACAGCAATGTGGCTAACTCTTAACTGCTCTCTGAAATGTCCTTAACAACACCAAGAGCAGGGACATGAATAGTAGAATAGTAATTTACTGTTTCTTCGTTTTTTACAAAAAAAACAGTGAAAAGCGTTTCAGTCATTGCACCATGGCGCCTATATTATTAACAGAAGGCATTGACGAGAAAATTTTTAAAAAAAATTTAAGGCAAAGTCCATCTTAGTTCATTCACGGCTCCTGGGTTCAGGAAAAGATAGTACTGCTGCAGCAAGCTGACAGAGCTGGTACCAAAGAAAAAGACCGCCACGCCAGGCCACTGGAATACCAGGCAGGAAGCAGGCTATCCATGCCAGACCGCTGGAATCTTGGGTTGCAAGACTCTGCAGAGTGCTGGAGCCACCCTAAGGGCTCACCTTGTCACTGATCTCGGGCTGGGAGACATCACAGAAGCTGCCCAAAGGAATCCAGGTCCACAGATGCCAGGTTGAATCCACTTCCTTGCTGAAGCTGCTGCTGATCCGGACCAATGGAATCCCATGCTGTGCTGCCAAAGCAGACCACCACCAGACACGGCCGCAATGGCTACGAGGAACTGCCATCACCATCGCAGCAGCCATTCGAATCCAACTGGGGCAGACGGTGAAATTTAAATTTGAAAAAATCTGGAATAAAGACCTGGCCTAATGGTAACCATGTAACCACGTTGATTATCTTTAAAAAAAAAACCCATCTGGCTGACTAATGTCCTTTGTGGCAGATTTCCTTCCCAGGTTACCCAGATGTTACTCAGTCTGGCCTACATGTGACTTCAGAGCCGCAGCATTGTGGTTGACTGTGGGCAAATAGGTACAGGTAATAAATGCTGCACGCATCCTACGCCTGAATAGAACTCCTGTTAGAGTCACAGAGTCATACAGCATGGTAAAAGACCCCTCGGTCCAACCAGTCCATACCGACCATGATCCCAAACTAAACTAGTCCCACCTACCTGCATTTGGCCCATATCCATTCAAACCTTTCCTATTCATGTACTTATCCAAATGGCTTTTAAATTTTGAAGGAATACTTTTGTTGCTTTATAGACACTGTTTTCTACTCTACATACATTTTTTGGCACTGAATACACCATTTTATGATCTGTAAAATCATGCAGAATGGTAGAGCAGACTCGAAGATCTGAATGGCCTCCTCCTGCTCCTATCTTCTATGTATCCATGTAAAGATGTTGCTTCACAATGAATCTGAATCTGTGTTAATGGTCACCAATGCTACCCAGTGACATAGTTAAAAAGAGAGATGAGTTTCTCTGACGCAGGGTCACTGGACCCGAAACGTTAACTCTGTTCTTTCCTTCACAGATGCTGCCAGACCCGCTGAGCTTTTCCAGCAACTTTGTTTTTGTTCTCATAGCAGAATATAGGGAGTTCAGAAATAAATTATAAAGCTGAACCTCAAAGATATTAAACGTGAAAGATGAAGATATAGGAGAATAAACCGTAGGAATGAGTGGTTAGAGAAATGATAGAGGAGGGTATCTTTGCAGGGGTCGTACAGTGGTGTGGATTTAACATAGAATGGCATGGAGATGGGAACCTGAGAAGAGACACAAGTAAGGGAAACAAAGTTAGAAATGAAAAATAGAAAAATATAAAGCGTATTTGGAAGGCAGAGGAAACGAGGGTTGGTAGTCAATAGGGCCATGGTACAAAAAAATTTTTTAAAAATCTAAATCTACTGCATTTGAATATGTGGACCATTTGCAATAAGCTGGATGAATTAATAGTACAAATAGTTGTAAATGGGTATGATATGATTGCAATTGCAGAGACATGGCTGTGAGTGACCAAGGCTGGGAAATGAATATCCAGGGCTATTCAATATTTTAGAGCAACAGGCAGAAAGGAAAGGGAGGTGGGATGGCATTGTTAGTAAAGGATGAAATCAGTACAACTGTGAGAAATGATGTTATCTCAGAAATTCTGTATCTAAAATCAGTCTGGGTGAAAAGGACAAAGTGGATGACTTTAAGCTTTATATGGATAGGTTAAACCACATTAGCAACAATACTGAGGTGAATGAATTCTTGAAGTGTTTACAAGGTGGTTTTTAAACCAGTATATTGTAAAACCAACTCAGATACAGGCCAGAGAACCTGACCCGAAACGTCAGCTTTCCTGTTCCTCTGATGCTGCCTGACCTGCTGTGTTCCTCCAGCTCCACACTTTGTTATCTCTGACTCCAACATCTGCAGTTCTTGCTATCTCAGATATAGGCCAGCCTAGGTTTAATTTTGTACAATGAGAAGACGTTCATTAATAATCTTATTTTGAGAAGTCCTTTAGGAAAGAGTGAACACAACATGATAGAATTCTTAAAAATAAAACCGGAAAGAACTGCAGATGCTGTAAATCAGGAACAAAAATGGAAGTTGTTGGAAAAGCTCAGCAGGTCTGGTAGCATATGTGAAGATAAGTCTAGAGTTAACGTTTTGGGTCCGGTGACCCTTTCTCAGAACTGATGGCAGCTAGGAAAATGTTGGTTTATTTGCAGGAGATAGGGTAGTGGGAGGGGCTACGGCGTAAACAATTGTTGGCATTAAGCCCAAAGATAGAGAAGAACAGTTGGACAGATAAAGAAGTTGATAACGATCTGGCTAGGAGGGTGAATAGCTGTTAATGGGAACTGTTGGTGACTAACAATAGGTAGGGTGTAATGGCACACTATGTCATAACAAGGCCTGGTGTGTTGTCTAAGGGGCTAGGATATGGGAGAGTTTAGGCCCTAAAATTATTGAACTCAATATTGAGTCTGGAGGGCTGCAGAGTCCCCAAGCAGAAAATGAGGTGTTGTTCTCCCTACTTACCTTCTTACCTTGACTCGGTCTTTTCTTCCCTGGTCTAGTCCCTGCGCACGTAAATCTGTGATTCCTCTAACGATCTACACCAGTTTCAGAATTTCCAGTTTGCAGGCTCCAGCCGCCTGCAGAAATGCCCTGCCTGCAAAAGTAGTAGACTTGCCAACTTTAAGGGCATTTAAATGGTCATTGGATAAACATATGGATGATAATGGAATTGTTTAGATTAGATTGGCTTCAGATTGGTTTCACAGGTCGGCGCATCATCGAGGGCCGAAGGGCCTGTACTGCGCTGTAATGTTCTATGTTCTATGTTCTGTTTTATGGATGTGCAATCCTTTTAACACATCCATCCCCCATCAGGATGGTCTCAGGGCTCTCTGCTTCTTCCTGGAGCAAAGGCCTGAACAGTCCCCATCCACCACCACTCTCCTCCACTTGACCGAGGTCGTCCTTGCCCTCAGCATCTTCTCTTTTAACTCCTGTCATTTTCGTCAGGTCAGAGGTGAGGCCATGGGTATACACATGGGCCCCAGTTTTGCCTGTCCCTTCGTGGGGCATGTGGAACATTCCTTGTTTCAGTCCTGTTCTGGCTGCCACCCACAACGCATTCTCTGATATATCGATGATATCATCGGCACTGTTTCCCTCTGTCGTCCAGAATTGGAAAAGTTCATCGATTTTTGCTTCCAGTTTCCACCCTGCCCTCACTTTCATCTGGTCTATCTCTGACTGCTCCCTTCCCTTCCTTGACATCTCAGTTTCCATTTCTGGGGATAGACTGGCCACTGATATCCACTATAAACCCACTGACTCCCACAGCTACCTGGACTATACATCCTTGCACCTTACTTTCTGTAAAGACTCCATTCCATTCTCTCAGTTCATCCGTCTCCATCGCATATGTCCGGATGAGGCCAACTTCGACAAGAGAGCCTCTGCAATGTCCACCTTCTTTTCAACCGAGGATTCCCCAGCACCATTGTCAGCAGGGCCCTCAACCAGGTCAAACCCATCTCCCGCACTTCTGCCATCATCTCCTCTCTTCCCTTCTGCAACAGTGATAGGGTACCCCTTCTCCTTATCTACCATTCCACCAGTTTCCAAATCCAGAAGATCATCAGGCACCATTTCTGCCACCTCCAGCAAGATACCAGCACCAGACACATATTCCATTCCCCTCCTTATCTGCCTTCCACATGGAACATTCCCCTTGGGATACCCTGGTCAACTCTTCCTTCACTCCCAACAACCCATGCGCCCCCACCGCCCCACAGCACCTTCCCCTGCAACCGCTGAATATGTAAACAGCTGCCCATTTACATCCTCCCTCCTCAGTATCCAAGGGCCCAAACATACCTTCCAGGTGAAACAGCACCTTATCTGCACTTCCCACAATCTCACAACGTGGTCTCCTGTACATTGGGAAAGCAAAGCCGAGACTGGATGACCGTTTCGTAGAACATTTACGTTCTGCTTGCAAAAATGATCCTGAGCTTCCAGATGCCTGCCACTTTAACACACCACTCTGTTTCCCGGCCAACATCTCTGCCTCAGGCTTGCCACAGTGTTCCAGTGAAGCTCAGAGAAATTTGGGAGAACAACACCTCATTTTCTGCTTGGGGACCTTGCAGCCTTCTGAATTCAGTATCGAGTTCAGTAATTTTAGGGTCTGAACTCTCCCGTGTTCTGGCCCCCGACCTAACACACCAAGCCTTGTTATCACATAGTCTGTCATTATACACTACCTATTGTTAGTCACCGACAGTCCCCATTTACAGCTATTCACTTCCGGATTTGTTTCTTAGTGGTTAGTATATGGGGTCCAGCACTACATGTTTGTTAATGGAGTTCCAGTTTGAGTGCCAGGCCTCCAGGAATTCTCGTATGTTTCTTTGGTTGGCTTGTCCTAGGATGGCTACATTGTCCCAGTCAAATTGGTGTCCCTCTTTGTCCATGAGTATTGAAATGAGTGATGGTTGGTCACGTCTCTTGGTAGATAGTTGGTATTCATGAATCTGATAGCTAGTTTACTTCCAGTTTGTCCTATGTAATGTTTTTGGAAGTCTTTGCATGGTATCTTGTAAATAACGTTGGTTCCATTAGTTGTGGTTGTTGGGTCCTTTATTCTCGTCAGTAGCTGTCGTAGTGTAACTGTCGGCTTGTGGGCTACCGTGATTCCTAGGGGGCGGAGTAATCTGGTGGTCATTTCAGACATGTCCTTGTATGGCCGGGTGACTGGTATCTTTGGACATGTTGTGCCTCCCTGTTACGGTCTGTAGTGTAGGTATCAACGAACCCAGCTTTTCGGGTAACCGTTGTTTCCAAAGACGCTGTGTAGATGTTCTTCCTTTGCCTTGCGTAGCTCTGAGATGCTGCAGTGTGTTGCAACTTACTTGAACAGTGTTTTGATCCAACTCCTTTTATTGGTATTGGGATGATTGCTATTGCAGCTGAGTACCTGATCTGTATGGGTGGCCTCCCTGTGTACGCTGGTCTGGAGCTCACCATTGGCCATACGTTCGACCACTTCAACACTAATATATTGTTCTCTTCTTCCCTGGTGAATTTTTTGTCGGTGAGGATGTTGATTATGAGTAAATGGATTTCTTCCAGTTTAGAGTGTTTGATAATTACAAAGGTGTCATCTGCATAGCGGATCCATAGTTTTGGTTGGATGGTGGGAAGTGCTGTCTGTTCCTGTCTTTGCATTATGGCTTCTGCAATTAATCCTGATAGTGATGATCCTTTGGGTGTTCTGTTGATTTATCCATATATCTTGCTGGTGAAGATGAAGTAGGTTGTGAGGCACAGATCCAGCAATTTAAGGGTGCTGTCAAATCTGTGCCTCAGATTTGACAGAACCAGTAGATGTGGTGTATTTGGATTTTTAAATAATTTTCAATGAAATTCCACAAAAGGGATTACTGTGCAAGATTAAGCACATCAAATTGTTAATACTATACTGGCATGGATTGGGAGTTGGTTAACAGACAGGAAATAGAGAGTACCATAGAATCCCTACAGTGTGGAAGGAGGCCATTCAGCCCATCAAGTCCACACCAATCCTCTGAAGAGCATCCCACCCAGACTCACCCCCTATCCTATGCCTGTAACCCTGCATTTCCCATGGCTAATTCACCTGGCCTCCACATCCCTGGACACTATAGGCAATTTAGCATGTCCACAGACAGTCGCCTGTGGCTAGAATTGAACCCGGGTCCCTGGCACTGTGAGGAAGCAGTGCTAACCGCTGAACCTCCATGTCACACTAACAGGAATAAATGGATCTTTTTTCAGAGTGGGTGATGATGACTGGGCATCAGTCCTTGGGGCCCAGCTGTTCACAATATATATCAATGATTTGGAAGAGTGAATCAAATGCAATATTTCCAAATTTGCTGATGACTTAAAACTAGGTGGGAGTGTGAGAGGTGAGCAGGATGTATAGCTGCTTCATGGTGACTTAGGTAAGTTGAGGGAGTGGGAAAATGGATGGCAGATGGCATAACACGGATAGTTGTCAAATTATTCACTTTGATAGAAATAGAACAACGGAGTATTATTTAAAAGGTGATTGATTGGGAAAGGCTAATGTACAGAGAAACCTGGCTATCCTCAGGTACCAGTCACTGAAAGGAAGCATGCAGCTGCACAAGCAGTTAGGGAGACAAGTGTTTATGTTGGCCTTCCTTGTAAGAAGTTTTGAGTACAGGGCAAGTAAGTCTTACTGAGGCTGTACAGGGCCTTAGTGGATCCATACCTTGGAGTGGAGTGTGCAGTTTTGGTCTCCTTATCTAAGAAAAAATATACTTTCCATTGAGGAAGTGCAGCAGAGATTCACCAGACTGATTTATGGACGTCAGGTTCATTATCCAAGGAGACATTGGATCAACTGGTCCTGTATTCACTGGAGGTTCGAAGAATGAGAGGGGATCTCATAGAAACATATAAAATTATGACAGGACTGGACAGCCTGAAGTGATCATGCTCCCCCTGGCTAGGACATTGTGGAACAAGGTGCCAACACCTTAGGATACTGGGTAGTCCATTTAGAGTAGAATTGAGGATATTTGCTTCACTCAGAGAGAGGTGAACCTATGGAATTCACGACCACCAGAAGTCTGTGGAAGCCAACCTACTGAATATATGTAAGAAAGAAATAGATTTCCAGACACTAAAAGTGAAGGGGTATGGGGAGAGAACGTGAGTATGGCATTGGGATAGAAAGTTAACCACGAACATGCTGAGTAGCAGAATGGGCTCAATGGGCTAAATGACCAAGTCTTTCTATGTTTCAATGATATACGTTAACTTGGGGTCTGTTGACCCTCCTGGTTTAACTGTTAATTTACAAGTCATGTGTTTCACTGAATCACGTGAACGTTTTCTGTTTCCTGAACAGCTTGGAACTGTATCGAAAGGTCGCAAACCTCCGGATCCTGGCCTGTGGTGGAGATGGAACGGTTTGTAATTTTAGCAAATTAAACATTTAATCTGTAGGATCAAAAAGACATGAACTATTTTGGTCTCATGCATGATTGGTCAGAAAGTGCTGTAGTGTTTGGGGTTGCTGGGGAGATACAAGAGTAGGAGCAAACCACTAGGCTCCTCGAACCTGCTCCACCTTTCAACTGTCGTGGCTGATATTGTGCCTCGACACCATTTTCCTGTACTATCCCATATCTTCCTTATCAAAGAAGTTATCTATTTCTCTTGAACTTACTTAAGATTTGATCCTTAATAGCCCCCTGGTGTAGAAAATTCCAAAGATTCACCACTTTTTGGATGAAAAGAATTCCTCCTCATCTCAATCCTAAACAGCCTGCCCCTGATTCTGATGTGTGTTCCTTGGTTCTAGATACCCGCAGCCAAAGGGAAAACATCCTTTCTGTAGCAACCCTGTCAAGTCCAGTAAATATTTTGTAGATTTCAATGAAATCACCTCATATTTTTCTAAACTCCAGAGAATACAGTCTCCAAGCAGGAGAGTTCTACCATCCCAGAAACCAGTCTGGTGAATCTTTGCTGCACCCTCTCTGTGGCAAACAAAGCCTGAGGTTTTGGCTGAATTTTGGCCCTCTGATTTTTCTTCCTGGGTGTATCTAGAAATCTGGCCCAGCTGAACAGAATTGCATAGATCGAAGGGTCAGATGTTTGGTTAATTCATTGTTTAGGAGTCCTGGAACTAGCCTCAGTGCCCCCTGTGCTGGTCTGTGATTTGATGCTAGCAAAATTTTTACAGGCCTTGATGGGTTAGAGTGGGAAGGATGTATCATTGGCTGGAAGAGCCTAGAAAAAGGGAGCACGGTCTCAGAATTGGAGCCAGGCCATTTAAGACAGAGATTAGGAGGAGTTGTTTTCACTCAGAGTCGAATGAATCTTTGGAATTCTTTATCCAAGAAAACTGTATAGGTTCAGCCATGTTCAAGACAGAGATTGATCGATAGATTTCTAGCCAAAAAGTATCAAGTGATGTGAGGACAGTGTGGGATGTGGTATTGAGGCAGGGAGGTGGAATGTATCTGCTGGGATTTCCTGTGTCCAAAATACAATGGAGGCACCCAGCGTAAGAGAAAATGTGCTGACAAGACATGGCAAACGTCACTATCTGGTTACACATTAATGCAGAACAAACAGCCATCGTCAGTCTGACCTCCCTTTGCCACAACTTCACTAATTTCAAGCAAACTCTAGAATTAGGTTTGAACTATGCCACAGATGGGGCACCACATTTGTCTGTTGGCTCCTAGGCAGACCATTTAACCTAAAAAATAATGGCTGCGCTGATTCTCAACTTCAGTTATCAATCTCTGTCTGCTCCATGTCTCCTGATACCTTTATTGAATAAACATTTATTGATTTAAGTCTTGAAAACCTCAGCCAGTTTGGAACCAGTAGATTATTGGAGAAAAGGTTCCAGTTCATCCTGTGTATGAGAAACCACTTCCTGATCATAATTTAAAAATTAGGGACTGCCACTTAAAACAGAGATGAGAAGAAAAAATTCTTTCAGATGGTTGAGAGTCTTTGGAATTCCCTTCCTCAAAAGGCACTGGACATAGAATCTGTATCAATAGGAATCGGGGGCAAACTGTCCACAGGTCATACCTGACACATTTTTAAGGCTCAGGTATATATATATTCTTGATTACTGAAGGGAAGAAAGATTATTGCAAATGTGCAGGAATGTAGAGTTGAGGTTAAAATCAGATCAGCCGTGATCTTATTAAAGGCGGATCAGGCTCAAAGGGCCAAGCGGCTTACTCTTATTCCTTGTTCAAATAGTTATCTGGTGTTTTGTTTCTGAATGACCTGGCTCTGATGTTGTAACAATATCCTTCTGTTCTTGATTTCTGCCACAGAAAATACTTCCTTTATTTTTAATACCCAAAGAGAATGACAGCTCTTGATATCAGGGCCACATTTCACCAAATGTGGAATCAAGGAGCCTTAGCAAAACAGAAATCAATAGGAATCAGGGGAAAACTGTCCACGGGTTAGAGTCATACCTTACACAGGAAGGTGGTTGTAGTTGTTGGAGCTCGGTCATCTCAGCTCCAGGACATCTCTGCAGGGGTTCTTCAGGATAATGTCCTGCTGTTTCATCAATGACTTATCCTTAATCATAAGGTTAGAAGTAAGCATGTTCGCTGATGATTGCAGAATGCTCACCACCATTCATGGCTCCTCAGATGCAGAAGAAGTCCATGTTCAAATGCAACAAGACCTGGACAATATCCAGGGCTGACAAGTGGCAAGTGTCTTTAGCGCCACGTAAGTTCCAGGCAAAGACCATATCCAATAAGAAACAATCTGACCAATTCCCCTTGGCATTCAATGGCATTGCCATCACTGAATACTCCACTATCAACATCCTGGGGTTTACCATTGACCAGAAACTCAACTGGACTCACCATATAAATACTGTGGCCACAAGAGCAGGTCAAGGCTAGGAATTTTGCAGTGAGTAACTCATCTTTGAATCCCCAAAGCCTGTCTGCAATCTACAAGGCACAAGTCAGGAGTGTGACGGAATACTCTCCACTCACCTGGATGGGTACAGCGCCAACAACATTGAAGAAGCTTGACACCATCTAGGACAAAGCAGCTTGCTTGATTGGCACCACATCCACAAGCATCCACTCCCTTTCCTACCTGATGCTCCGTAGCAGCGGTATGTACTATTTACAAGATGCACTGCAGAAATTTGCCAAAAAAATCCTTAGGCAGAATCTTCCAAACCCATGATCACTTCCATCTAGATGGACAAAGGCAGCAAATAAATGGGAACACAACATCTGCAAATTTCTCTCCAAGCCACTCACCATCTTGACGTGGAAATAAATCATCGTTCCTTCACTGTCAATGTGTCAAAATCCAAGAATTCCCCCCTAACAGCATTGTGGGTCTACCTATAGCAAATGGACTGTAGTGGTTCAAGAAGGCAGCTCATCACCATCTTTTCAAAGGCAACTATGGATGGGTAATAAATGCTGGCTGACCAGTGACATCCATGTCCCACAAGAGAAGTAAAAAAACAACCACTCCGCAATCTTCTATACTCAAGGAAGTATCGACTTACTCTTTGCGATTGATCCTCTTGCATTAATCCCCAATTTCAGCATCAAGTATACCACAAGCTGGAGCAGAATAAAGCTTCCTTTACTGTTCTCAGTGCCAGTTTTACATTTTTGCATTTTGATGTCCACATCTTCCACATGCTGCAGAGAACAAACTCACATAATAGATGTTTGCCAATGGCTCATAGCTGGAATCATTCATTGGAATCAGTGTGATCAGTTCCCCGAGTCTCAATACATTACTCCTAGCGCAAGATAATGTTTCATGGCCTGATGTGTAACCTCAAGCTCCCTGAAAGCTTGTTACAGCACCATTGCTATCACCTTAATGAATCTTTATCTTTCAATGGTAAGATAGCAATTTGCATTAATTCCTTAGTTACCACATCCGTCAACTAGCTAAGGTTAAACCAGAGTGTTTGCAATCTTATTTGATCCCAGAATGAGCTATTGACCACATATTAAGAATACATGTTTCCACCTAGTGCCAAACTCTGCCCATTCCTCAGCTGCAGAATCCCTCATCTATGTCCCTGTTACCTTTAGTCTTGACATTTCCACATACTCCTGGCTAGCCTGCCACATTCTGCCTCTGTTTCCTGCAGCTAAACTTGCAACAAGTCCCATTCCGCTGTGCTTACTGACACAGATTGGCTCTCGGACAGGCAAGGTCTTGCCTTTGAAAACCATTTGTTTTCAAATTCATCATAGCCTTTCCCTTTCTTATCTCTGTGAAATCCTCCAGCCCCGCAATCTTCTTAATTCCTCTAATTCTAGTTTCTTAACCATCTACGGTCAGGGCCTTGTTTTGTAATGAGCAGCATCTCTGTCTCTGATTCACAAGCTCCAGCTATTAAAAATAGCTACATAATGCAGCCAACCAAGCTGACTATCATTCTGCAAATCCTTTCAATATATGCCAATGGCAGGCAAAAGAGTAGAGAGATGGAAAATTATTGGAGTTTCTACTATCACTGTCCTTTGTTCTGTGTTCCAACATGCACGTGGCAGTGGTAACTGAGACTTCCTGAGTGAACTGGAACATTCCACCACCAAGCATCCCTGATTTTAGTTTCTCCATCATTGGCGATTGTGCCTTGGGGACTGCAACTTAAATTTCTGAATTGTCTCCCAAAGCCTCTCTGCCACTTCAGCCCTCTTTTTTTTCCTTTGTTTAAGCCACTTTGCATTTGACCAAGCTACTGGCCATCTGCCTAATATCTTCCTATGTGGCCTTTGTTTTGCTTTATAACATGCCGATTGGGCAAATTGGGTTACTTCATTAAACTAAAGGTGCTGGACAAAGCTGTTGTTGTTTATTTTTGCACAGTGCATTTGGATAAAATGACCCAACGTTAACAGGTGGAACAGGCAGTGAGTTACTAGTGAGAGCAGGTAAGGTCCAACTAAAGCATTGCCACAGTGACGGAAAAGAATGAGGTTCACTTGGCAGGATAAATGTTGGCTGGTCCGCTCCAGCATTGTGTCTGTTGCGAGATCATCCTTCAAGTTGCGGAAAGAGACAAGTGTGTCTTCAGACTGGTGAGCAGGATCCTTTATTCACCATTTACACCACATACATAAATGGGAAGGAGGGAGCATTCTTAGAACTCTGATGACTTGATAGTAGTTTCAAGTATCTACATCAGCATCAATATCACTGCTTTTGACTATTTATTAGTATATTAGCACTTGACCATTATTGTTCAGTGTTAAGGAGGATCTTTAAAAGAACAAGAGAAACCCCCGCCCAGTAGCCACCTTGTGTCTCACAGAATAAACTTGTCAGTTCAGCCCAAATTAGTGCCAAGTTGGGCTCATTTCATAATGCTGGTGCACACCTACTGAGAACTGGGTTGAGGTTCACAGAAGTGCACACTCAATCTAAATTACTTCTTGATTTTCCTTCTTCACTCTTCCAGTTCTGGTTGAGAATAGAATGTGAGATCTGAGTGGAGTTTTGAAGTAAAATCTTAAAAGAGATAAGCCTGTACTCCAACATGTTTCTAGATTTGACATGCATGAAAATGAACATCTTTATTTCAACTGGTGATTTTATATTTTTGTCTTTCTGTCCAGGTGGGCTGGATTCTTTCCCTGTTGGACGAACTACAACTCAATCCCCAGCCTCCAGTCGCAGTGCTTCCACTTGGTACAGGAAACGACCTGGCCCGTACCCTCAACTGGGGAGGGGTAGGTACATCCTTCAACAGGTCCACCTGTGAGGATGGGCTAGCAACCCCCCCAGAAAGATAGATAATGGTGTGTGATGCAGCCTGGCTGTCAAAGGGAAGGTGCAGAGTATGAAAGGGACTCGTAACAACAGAGAGAGAAAAGCATTAGGACACCCTTTGTAATTACTTTGACAGGTTGTTATAGAGGATTGCTGGAGTGAGAGTGATTGAAGAATATTTAATAACCATTTCCAAGAGGAAATTGCATGACTACTTGAAGGTGAAAACATTCGTAGAGTTAGAGGACAAAACTGGAGAAGGGGTAATAATTAGAAATATTTATGATCAATCAGGGCATTAGTGAGGAGATATTGGTATAGTGGTAATGTAATTGGATTTGTTAGGGTAGAGAAGAAATGGTCTAGTAGTTTATCACTAGACTATTGATCCAGAGACCCAGGTAATGTTCTGGGGACCTAGGTTTTGAGGTCAATAATAATCTGGAATTAAGAGTCTAATGTTATTGATTGTTGGGGAGAAAACCTATTAGGTTCACTAATGTTCCTCCGGGGAGGAAATCTGCCATCTTTACCTGTGACTCCAAACTCACAGCAATTCGGTTGACTTATAACTTTGGGAATGGGCAATAACTGCTTACATGGTCTGTAATGTGCACATGCCATGAATGAATAAAAAAAATTGAGACTGACTCTCTATCTATGAGCGGTGTGAAGATGCTGCATTATATTCTTGGGGCAGCAATGTAAATGCGGATATTGCCATTATGCTATCAATGCTCCATATTCTGTGCTTCATTTGTACATTTTGTCTTTATCTGGGAGAAACCCTCCAGGGTGTTTTTGCCCCTTTTGGCTATGGGTTTATCAAAGTTTTATTTTCACATCTGACAGGAAATTTCATGGAGGGCAATGAAAGGAGGGAGGAAGCCTCTGGTGACGCTGTGATTTGAACCTTTGGGGTTCAAGTATCATTGCACTGAATCCATGTGGCCCTTGCTCAAAGATTGATATATCCTTCTTAAGGTGTGATGCCTAAAAGAACTGGACATTTGGGCATACAAGTCAACCTTAAAGCCTCGAAAGCCGGCGTCCCTGACAGTCCTTGATCTGAGCAGCTTGCTAGGCTGTTAACAGTCACCCACATTGCTGTGGATCTGGAGTCACAGTAGACCACATAAGGATGGCAAATTTCCTTTCCTAAAGCATACTAATGAACTTGATGGGCTTAACAACAATTAACAATGGTTTTATGGTTGCCTTAAGGCTGGCATTTTAGTTCCAGATTTTTACTGAATTCACATTTTATTCTCTGTCATGGTGGAAGTTGAACCCATGACCCCAGAACATTATCCACTACACCACCATCTCCCCCTTATAAGCTGAATATATGCAAAAGCATGACCTTTGGGCCTAACAAGTGAGGTCAGCGTGGATTGATTTAAATGCTGCAACATAAGGTATTAACTGTACATCAAGTGTAGTCTAACTTTAACAACTGGAGCCTAACTTCTACCTCTTAGTTCTTGTCTTTTAGGTATAAAAACCACTATTCCATTAGCCTTTTTGTTTACTTTCTGTACTCCTTCACAGTGTGATTGTGTGGGAGGCAATCGACAACCTAGGTAGGCTTATCTAGTTTTCCTAACTTGCGGTAGTAATCACCCATGTTGAGTTACAAATGCGATTCATTTCCATCTGTGAAGCTGTCAAAAATAAGCTCTGCTGCTCCCCTTTCAATCATTTGTAGAATATTTCAAGGGAAACAAATGCGAGTTGAGTCAGCGATGTCCACAATCCATGAATAAATGTAAAAAAAAATTACCAGCAACATTTGCTATTCTTCCATACATTGGCAGCTCTTCCCAGGTGGTATCTAAATGCATAATGGGAAGAGGTTGAGTCATTATGTTTGGCTTGAGGGGATGAATAAGGCACTCTACCTGTTCCTTTTCTTTATACAAGGTACTTAGCTGTGAACTCTCTCAGTGCCGTTGTCACAACAGACACCTTTCTAAGTCTGCAGAAGGGAGATGTCCTTGCCATTGACTGAGGCACTTAGGGGAGATAATTCATTTAGTTCTCTCTATGTCACAGGGGTACACAGATGAACCAGTTTCAAAGATTCTCTGCCATGTAGAGGAGGGCAATATAGTCCAATTGGACCGCTGGAACCTCCATCTTCAGAATAACCTCCAGCCTAGCCAAGATGATGCTGAAGAAGGCACTCAGAAGGTAACTGCAGCTGCTAACTTTGCTGACTTTTATACAAACCTTTAATATTTTCTGCAAGATTCTTTGAGGGTTAGAGGTTTTTGTTCGAGAGTGTTGTAATGTTTTGTTTGTTAGTGACAAAGCTGAGGACAGTGCAGAGCAGCACCAAGGTGGAAAACAATGTAAACAAAGCTGAGGTACATTGTGGTGAGCTGACAACTAAGTTTGGGTTTTACAGCCTGTGCGTTCTAGGCAGTAAGAAGCCCTGTGTTCAACTGCTTTGTGATTCTAATTTGACTTGTTACTTCAACCATCAGAGTACATACGCTTCAGTTGTAATACTATTTATTGACCTTCCCTGTTCCATAATTCCTGTAATAGTTTGCTCACATTTAACTATCTTTTTGACCTTTGATGTATAGATAAATCACAGTGAAACAGAGATGTATTCGCATATGGTCAAATTAAGATGCATAGCAAAAGCAAGAAACAAGTTCAGGGTTTCCCACAGTGGGGTTAATTGAGGGGTGAAATTTTGGGGTCCAAGCTCTGATCCAGCAGCCAAGGAGTTAAAACAACTTTGTGGCCCCACTAACAGGCTCCTGCTGTCACAGCCCCACTTCCCCTGCCCTTCTGACTCACTCCGTCTGGAAGTGAGAAAATATTTGGGAAGTGCTACTGTAGTTGAAACAAATGCATGCGCACAGCTCAAACACATTTGTCCATCTAAATCCCTTCCCATGGTCACATTGTCCTAATTAGTTTAGTACTATTCTCATGGACACCCCATGTGTGTCAGATTCCATTACTGTCTCATTTGTGGATGTGTCCTTCCATTGTTTGACCCATTCAGACCGTAGACTTGACCATCTGAAATGTCACCATTATAATTCTGCAACTAGCTGCATGAATGTTTGGATTGCCATAATTCTAACCTTTGAATATGCTGCTCTATAAGGTCAAAGTCAATTTGCTACTGGATGTTAATGTAATCTTTATGCCTGATTGGAGAATGTCTAGTTTCAGCACAGACACTGACTTTGCCAAATGTGCATGCAGCAGCTGAGGAAACAGCTGGTTTGGTTTTTCTGGAGTCACTGCAGTTTTCCCTGGGGCTTAGCTCATCTGTGCATTACACTCTCAAGGGATAGCCGCATTGAATTTGGAGGCAACATCAGTTGACCCACATAACCAGTTCCACCAGAGGACAGATATGCCATAGGATAGTTGATAACCACAGACCAATTCTGTAGTCAACTAGAGATCCTTTGGTAATCAAACGTTTTGAAAATGAGCAGTTGGCACATACAGGTGAATACTTGAAGAGACAGTTTGTCAAACTGAGATGCATCTCTGATAGCGAATGACATTGGAATTAACTTTGCAACTCTATGCATTATGCTATGATAGAGCCAAATCTGCCATTCACGTTATATGAGTAACTTTGCTTTTTGGAACTCTTGCGAAAGGAGAAGAGTGTGTAAAGATGTCCCCTTGATCTAATGTGACAAAGTTAATTATATGCAGATTCAGTACACATTTAAATCATTGAGCCTTATATTGTGTGATTACAGGCATGATATTCAATAGTTCAATAAATTACATGGGAACTTGCAATCCCCGAGGATGCTGCAATGGAATAATAAGACCTGGTGCTCACTAAAGAAAACAGAAAGAGTTTCTAAAACACTTCTTCATGCTGTTGTACCACAAACAAAAAGCAAGCTTGTTTTGATTGATTCCTTTTATTGTCACGTATACGGAAATACAGTGAAAAGCTTTGTCTACGAGTGGTACGGGCAGATAACAGCAAGATAAGGATATACAGATCAAAAAGACTTAGAGGCATACAGGTTACATTGCAGGTTACATAATATGAGGCTAGAGTCCATTCAACAGTCTGATAACGGCCAAAAAGAAGCTGTTCCTGAACCTGCCTGTGCACGTGTTCAGGCTTCTGTATCTTCTGCCTGACAGAAGAGGTTGTAGGAAGTCATTACCAGGGTGCGATAGGTCTTTGATGATGTTGACCGCCTTTCCACGGCAGCAAGCTGTGTAAATAGAGTCCATGGATGGAAGGTTGATTTCCGTGATGGTCTGGGCTGTGCATACAACCTTCTGTAGTTTCTTACGGTCCTGGGCAGAGCAGTTGCCATACCAGGCCGTTATGCAGTACGCTTTCAATGGGGCATCTGTAGAAGTTGATTAGGGTCCTTATGGACGTGCCAAATTTCCTGAGCCGCCTGAGGAAGAAGAGGTGTTGTTGTGCCGCCTTGACTGTCGCATTTACATGGGAAGTCCAGGACAGGTCGTCGGTTATCGTCTCTCCGAGGAACTTGATGCTCTTCGTCCTCTCAACCTCAATTCTGTTGATGTAGATGGTGTTCTCCTCCCTTCTTTCTGAAGTCAATGATCAGTTCTTTAGTTTTGCCGACGGTGAGAGACAGATTGTTTTCACTGCACCATATCACCAAGCCCTCTATCTCCCTTCTGTATTTTGACTCATTGTTGTTTGATATCCATTCCACAATGGTGGTGTCGTCAGCAAACTTGCAAATGGCGTTTGTTCAGAATTTGGCGACACAGTTGTAGGTGTACAGGAAGTACAGTAGGGGCTGAGGATGCATCCTTGGGGGGGCTCCAGTGTTGAGTGTTATTGTGGATGAGGTGCAGTTACCTATCCTCACTGATTGTGGCCTATGGGTCAGAAAGCTGAGGAACCATTTGCAGAGGGCAGAGCCAAGACCAAGGTCACACAATTTTGAGATCAGTCTGGAGGGGATAATGGTGTTGAAGGTGGAGCTGTAGTCAACAAGCAGGAGTCTGATGTAGGTGTCTTTTTTGTCCAGATGTTCAAGGGATGAGTGCAGGGCTAGGGATATGGCGTCCTTTGTGATCTGTTATGTCGGTAGGCAAACTGTAGGGGATCGAGGCAGGTTGGGAGACTGGAGTTGATGTGGGCCATGACCAGCCTCTGGAAGCACTTCTTCCAGTTTTCTTCCAGTCAGTTCTGTTGAAGAGTTGGTTGAGCCATCTGTACTAAAGATTCTCTAACTATTGATTAGAATTCAGCAGCCCTTTGTGCCACATGATTTCCCAGCATGTGATACAATCCATGTCTTCAAATTGTACTCAAGCACCCAGACACGTCACAGAACAGTGGCACACCACACAGATAGAATAGCACAGCTGCTGAGTGTTCAATGTAGAACCACAGGCTCAGTTCCTGTTTAGGTTCCTGCGTAACCATCACCCGTAACAAATGGACATTATTGGTATCTGAACTGAGGTTCTTAATAAGTACTGTGGTGTTTATCATCATTACATTTATAAAGCTAAGCTGTAGGCTTTGTGCCATGCAGGATCCAGAGAATGAACCTATTATTACATGGCAGTAGGGAGTATTGAACTTTCTGTAGTTTCAGACTGGGAAATGTACTTTTATTGATTCCATGTTTTGACTTCAAGATCCTGTAGTACTGTAATTAAGAGTCTCCATTCCTTGGCTTAATTGTAGTATTAAGTCATTAAAGTGTGTAAGATGTCAGAAGAAAGATCTTTGGAAAGTTCAACTGGTTCTTTGTGCATGATAGTTTTTGCTGGTTTGTTGAACCCTCGTTGCTTCTTACAATCTTGGAATTCTGATCTTAAAGTCCTATCCCACCTTTCTCTCCTCACCTATGAACTTCTGTTCACAATTCTAGGGATAAATTAGTGTTAAGTAGAAATGAAAAAGGGGAATTGCATTATAGAATATTATTCCAAATCACCAGGAAAAGCTCTGCATTCCAGGTCAAGGTCAGCATCCTCAATGAACCATAAGACAATGAGCATTGAACAATTCTGTTGGGCTTGGGGTAGCTTCATCTGTTGCAGTTTTGCTGATGGCTAAAGAGGCTAATAAATGCAAGGCAGGTTCTGCTTCAAGTGTTGCAGATGAAGTGATTATCAGGAGTCGTTATGAGCTCTTACTTTCAATGCTGGCGCCCATCGCCATACAGCTGTAGCCACTGGTCATAGCGGTTCATACCAACCCAGAGGTAATATCACCATTTCCCTCTGTTGCCAGAGCTGGTTCTCTTAAATGGAAGGATCAATGCTTAGGGCCATCATGTCAAGCTTCCACAAGTCCTTGATGTGGAGCTTTGGATGGCCCACTGCTGCTGTGGTTGCACCTTTTTCACCATCATGAACATTGTTGTGTTTGCAAACCTCTTCCATCCTTCCAATCAGCCTGAGCCAGTGAATTTTCCTTTGCCTGACAAATAGAAGTGTACTTGGGAGATTTGCTTTTAAGAGAATGGCCACATGCAGGGTTTTGTCATTTTGTGAGATGCACAGAGTACACTGCAAAGAACACAGTTGGAAGTTGCAGAGCTGCTTTTCTTGATCACAGTAAATCATTCATATTTCACAGCCACACTAGGTGCTGTGAACACAGGCTTCAGAAACTCACATCTTGGTTCGAAGACTCAGCAATCGGCAGCAATAGCAGGCGCAATAACAAGGACAGTAGTAACAATAATTTAGTCACTTTTGCGCAGCAGCCTGGGTCACGGTCTATTATTGGGGGCAGTTTCCGAGTTGTATGTTTTTTGTTTTTGGGGCTTGTCAGCTTTTTGAAGCTCTGTTTGTTAGGGTTTCTAGGTTGTGGATAAAACTGTCCACTACTAAGCTGGATTTCACCATGTAGATTGTATGTCTGTACTCACTCAGTGATTCTCTCTTTTTCCTCCCCACAGCTTCCACTCACTGTGTTTAACAACTACTTCAGCCTGGGTTTTGATGCCCATGTGACACTGGAATTCCATGAATCTCGGGGTACGTGCAATCTCTTCATGAATACACACTCGTACTCACAGACTCGTTCACCTACGCACTCGTACTCACATATGCAAACATTCGTCCACACGTGCATTCACTCAACACACGTACACATACACTCTCACACGCAAAAACACATAGACACAAACTATAACATACATACACACTTACTCTCACAGAATTGCAGCGCTACAGAATTGTTACAATACAGAAGCAAACTATTCAGCTCTTTGAATTTACCCTGACTCTCTGAACATTTTAACTTGGTGTCAATCTCCTGTCTTTTCCATGTAAGAGTGCGCTTTATTTCTGTTCAACTAGTTGTCCAATGTTCTCTTAAGTACTTCAATTTAACCTGCCTCCACCACATTTCCTCTCAGTGCATTTCCAACCTTAATGACTTGCTAAGTGAAAAAAGTTTTTTTCACATTGCCTTTGCTTCTTTTACAAATAATTTTAAAACATTGCCCTGATTCTCAGTCTGTTTAAGAGAAGTAGCACTATGATGCTGCGCTAGAGGAGCTGAGTTTCTCAGCTCACTGGGACCTCTGTGTTTTGTGGGTGGCGCTCAGGCCATATTGAATAATTAGTTGATTTGTGGTTTTTCCTTCCTGGCCCAGCGAGTGAAAAATCCATTGTGTATATATGTTTCAGCTGTTGTCAGAGATGGAATAGAAATATTAAATACTGATTTCAGAAGGCAATATAATCATTATCATCTGAAGTCCACAAGAACACAAGAAATGGGAGATTATATAGGGGAAACATAGACCATTTGGCCCATCGAGCCTGCTTCCTCATTCAGCGTGACCATGGCTGCAATCAGGGCTTCAATTCCACTTTCCTGCCTGCTCCCCATATCTTTCAGTTCCCCGAGAGACCAAAACTCTGTCTATCCTAAACTTAAATATACTCAATAATAGAGTATTTGCAACCTTTTGGATAAGCAATTCCATCGAACCCATTCCAATCTTCTCTGCAGTCATTTATCTTTTCATCAGTGCCTCATTGAGAATATTTGTTTAGATGGCCTGTTAATGGCCTTGAATACTAATTGTATTTTTCCCAATTTTTCTAGAAGCAAATCCAGAACGATTTAACAGTCGATTTAGGAATAAGATGTTTTATGCAGGGGTAAGCGATTTTTTTTCTATTCATTTGTGAGATGTGGGCATTGCTGTCTGGCTAGCATTTCTTGCCCGTCCCCAGTTGCCCCTGAGAAGGTGGTGGCAAGCTACCTTCTTGAACTGCTGCAGTCCACCTGCTGTAGGTTGACCCACATTGCCATTAGGGAGGGCAGGATTTTGACCCAGCAACAGTGAAGGAACGGCTATATATTTCCAAGTCAGGAGGGAACTTGGAGGTGGTGGTGTTCCCATATGTTTGCTGCCCTTGTCCTTTCAGATGGAAGTGGTCATGGGTTTGGAATGTGCTGTCTGAGGATCTTTAGTGAATTTCAGAAGTGCACCTTGTAGATAATACACACTGCTGCGACTGAGTGTTGGTGGTGGAGGGAGTGGATGCTTATGGATGTAGTGCCAATCAAGCGGGCTCCTTTGTCCTCGATGGTGCAAGCTGCGGCTGCACTCATCCAGGCAAGTGGGGACTATTCCATCACACTCCTGACTTGTCTCTTGTAGATAGTGGACAGGCTTTGAGGAGTCAGGAGGTGAGTTACTCTCCACAGTATTCCTAGCTTCTGGCCTGCTCTTGTAGACACTGTGTTTATGTGGTGAGTCCAGTTGAGTTTCTGGTCAATGATAACCCCCAGGATGTTGACAGTGGGGTATTCAGTACCATTCGTGACTCGTGAATCCTCAATCCAGTGACCCAATTGGTCAAGAACCCCTTGTGTTTTTGGATAACCTTCTTCACTGTCCACTACACCACCAATTTTGGTGTCATCTGCAAACTTAGTAACCATGCCTTCTAAATTGTCATCCAAATCATTTATATAAATGACAAACAAAAGTAGACCCAGCACCGATCCCTGCAGAACACTACTGGCCTCCAGTCTGAAAAACAGCCCTCCACCACCAACCTCTGTCTCCTAATATCAAGCTAATTTTATATCCAATTGGCAAGGTCTTCCTGATCCCATATGATTTAACTTTACTACCTTGCAGAACCTCATCAGAGGCTTTGCTAAAGTCCATGTAGATAGTGTCTATTGCTCTGCCCTCATCAGTCTTTTTGGTTACATCCTCAAACAATTCAATCAAGTCTGTGAGACATGATTTCCCATACACAAAGCCATACTGACTATCCCTAATCAGTCCTTGCCTCTCCAAATGCATGTAAATCCTATCTTTCAAAATCCTCTTCTACTACTTACCCACGACTGATGTCAGATTCACAGGTCTCTAGTTCCCTGGCTTCTCCTTACAGTCTTCCTTAAATAAAGGCACAACATTAGCATCTCTCCAGTCCTCTGGCACCTCACCCGTGGCTGTTGATGGTACAAATATCTCTGTTAGGGCCTCTGTGACCCATGTGGTATTCTACTATTTATGTCTCTCCATCCTGAAAAGGGACTCATTAGTCTTGGCTCCCTGTCTTCTGTGTCAACCAGTCATCAATCCATGTTGATTCATTATCCCCAATACTGTGAGCTGTGTTCTCGTGCAATAACGTTTTACGTGGCACCGTATTGACTGCCTTCTGGAAATCCAAATACACCACATCTAATGGTTTCTATTTGTGACCTCTGTGTGTTATATCCTCAAAGAACTTGAGCAAATTGTCAAGCATGATTTCCCTTTCACAAAGTTATGTTGACTCTGTTTGATTATGTTAAGCTTTTCTGATTGTCCAGCTATTTTTCCCTTACTAATGGACTCTAGCATTTTTCCAATGACAGATGTTAGGCTAACAAGCCTACAATTTCCTGCTTTCTGTTTCCCTCTCTTCTTGAACATAGGTGTAAGTTACCGGTTTTCCAATCTGCTGGAATCCGGTGAGTTTTTGGAATGTTTTGACCAATGCCTCTACTATTTTTGTAGCCACTTCCTTTAAAATCCTTGGATCTAGGATATCATGTCCTCTGTAATTGCCCTGTAATTAAGTTGAGGACACTGGACTGAGACCCAAGTTACTCTGCCTCAAACTGAATTTGAAATTCTATCATGCTGTGATCGCTATCCCCTAGAGGATCCTTCATTACGAGATCTCTTATTAATCCTAACTACACTGGATCTAAAATAACCTGTTTCTGTATAGGTTCTGCAATGTACTACTTTTAAGAAACAATTCCTGATGCACTTTAGAAATTCATCTTCCATGTTTCCCTTGTCCATCTGAATTTTCCAGTCAATATGCATATTGAAATTATCTATGATCCTTACAGTGCCTTTCTTACATGCCCTCATTATTCATGATTTATAATTTATCCTACAGAGAAGCAAATCTTCAGGGGCCTGTAGACAACTCACTCCTATGAGGTTTTTCCCTTGCTGTTCCACCCAACTGATCCCCTACTATCATCTATTACACCTATATCACTGCTCACAACTGTACTGATATCTTCCTTTACACTAATGCTATTCTGCCTCCCTTCCTTTATACGTATTCTTCCAGAAAGTTGAATATCCTTGAATGTTGTGTTCACACTTATGGTCACCCTGAAACCATATCTTTGTAATAGCTATCAAACCATATTCATTAATTTCTATTTGTGCCGTCAGCTCATCTATATTGTTACAAATATTGATGCATTCAGATAAAGAAACTTAAGCTTTGACTTTTCACCATTGCTACTTATTAAGTTTCTAATTATTACTGCTTATATTTTTTACCCCTTCCTATCAAACTTTGATCACCAACACCCTGACCTCTCATCTCTTGTTTCTTTCTGATTTTTAAAATTTCCCTTCATTGACCCTGCACTAATTAGTTTAAAGCCCTATCTACAATCCTAATTACACAATTCATGAGGACAGTAGTCCCAGCATGGTTTAAATGAAGCCTGTCCCAGTGGAACAGTTCTGTCTTTTCCCAGTACTGTTGCCATTGCCCCATTAATGGGAACCCATTTCTCTCACACCAATCTTTGAGCCATGCGTTTACCTTGCTAATTTTGTTTACCCTAGGTCAATTTGTAATTGTTTCAGTAATCTGAGATTAATATCTTTGTAGTTCTGCTTTCTAATTTAGCTCCAAGCTGCTCGTAATCCCTCAACAGACCTCTCTCCTAGTCCTACCTACATTGTTGGCACCTACATGGACAATGACAAATGGATCTTTTCCTTCCCACTCCAAGTTCCTCTCCAACCTAGAAGAGACTTCCCGAACCTTGGCAGTAGTTAGGCAACACAACCCTCAGGACTCTCTGTCTTTTGCTACGGAGACCAGAATCTATTCCCCTTAATATACTATCTCATATTCCTACTACGTTTCACTTTTCTGCCCCCACTTGAAAGTGCTTTGGACCATGGTCTTGTGCTCAATTTGTACATCCTCCCTGCAGATTGTGCTCTCACCTTATACCTATTGGACAAGGGCAATGGCTGAAGTTCCTCCAAAGTTAAATTTTGGATCCCTATTACCTGCCTCACTCACAGTCACATCCTCCTGTTCCTCACTGCAACTAAATTTTATGTAAGTAATCTAAGAGTGTGACTATCTTTTGAAGCACAGTATACAGGCACCTCTCTTTCTCCCTGATGTGTCACAGTGACTGCAGCTCGGACTCCAGTTCATCAATCGACTTGAAGTTCCTCAAACAGCCAACACTTGGTGCAGCTCAGGTCACTGTGGATCACACCGGCATCCACCAGCTCCCACTTACTACAGTAGCAACATGTAAGCCCAGCCATCTCTATTCTATTCACTTCATTAATTTGGATGTTTAATTATTTTAAAAATGAATTTCTTACCTGCACCTTTCAGCTGTAATGGCATCTCCTGATTTAAACCACTTGGTCAATCAAAAGTGACATGGATTAAGTACCCACCAACCAGCTACTTGTTTTCCTGTGACATCACACTGCAGTTCTGACCACCAGAAGTAGGTTGAAGGGACTCGATGCAGCTGCTTTTATCTCCTGACACTACCCTTCTGCAGGTCTGCTATCCCAGTCTGCTTCTCAGTGATGCTGATTTGCTACACCATTGACTATAGTACATTCTCTTTCCTTATTCAAGTCAATAAAATATGTTGTAAATAATGCGGCTGAAGCACTTATTCCTATTACATACCACTACTGACAGGTTGTAATCCCGAAAATGCCCTTTTATCTCTCTGTCTTCTATTCGTTAGTCAATCCTCTACCTGTGTTAATGTACTGCCTCCACTACCATGGTCTCTTATTTTTTTAAGTAGCGTAATGTTTAGTAGCTTATCATACATCTGAAAATCTAATTATATTGCATCCACTGCTTCCCCTTTACTTATCTGCTTTTATCACCTCAAAGAATTCTAGTGAACTTGTTAGGAATAATTCCCCGTTTGTGAAGCCATAACTCTTCTTGATCATATTATGTACTTATAAATGCTCTGCTATTACATCTTTTGGAATAGGCTCTAACATTTTCCCAATAACAGACATTAAGCTAACTGGCCTATGGTACCTGTTTTTTATGTCTCCTTTGTAAGATTTCTAAGTCTTTGGGACTTTTCCAAGGATTTTTGGAAGACCACTGCTATTGTATCCAGTATTTCTGTAGTTTCTTGCTTTAATATCCTAGGATGCATCTCATCATGTCCAGAGGACCTAACAGTCTTTAGCCCAGTGAGCTTCCCTAACACTTTTTCTCCAGTGATACTTATTGTATTTATTGCCTTTCCTGTTTTATTCCTGTTGAATATTTAGTAGTTTTGGAATACCATTAGTGCCTTCTACTGTGAAGACTGATGTAAAGTATATATTCAGCTTTTGTGCCAGTTCCCGGTTCCCCATTATTATTTCTCCACCTCATTCTCTAATGGCTGTGTATTAACTTTGTCCTGTCTCTTCCTCATATATTTAAAGAAGCCCTTGCCATCCATCTTGATATTATTTGCAAGTGTAGCTTCAAAACTTATCTTCTCCCTCTTTATTAATTTGTTAGTGGTCTTTTGTTGGTTTTTAAAATTTTCCCAATCCTCTGGCTTACCACAGGTATTTTCCACATTGTATATTTTCTTTTCTCTCAATTTGATGCTATCCTGGTTAACCATGATTGGTTTATCCCCTTCCTATAATCCTTCTTCCTCACTAGGATACATCTTTGTTGTGAGCCATGACCTTTTTTCTTAAATATCTGCCAATTTTCCATAATTGTCTTTGCTGCTAAACCCCTTTCCCAGCACACTCCAGCCAGCTCTGCCCTCATTCCTTTTTAATACCCTTATTTAAGCTTAGCACAGTTGTTTCCGAAGCACATTTCTAACCCACAAACTGAATACTAAATTTTGTCATGCTATGGTCACAATTCCTGAGGGGATCTGTTACTCTGACATTTGTATACATCACCAAATCCAAAATAACCTGATCCCTGGTTGGATCCACCACATGTTGTTCTAGGAAACTGTTCCAAATGCGGTCTATGAATTCTTCTTCAGGGCTACTTCTGCCAATCTGATTGGTCCAATCGACATGAGGATTAAAGTCACCAGTGAGTGATGTACTGCCTTTGCTCCATTCCCTAATTATCCCCTGATTTATTCTGTATCCCATCATATAGTTACTGTTAGTTACTACTATGGACCATCACAACCAGTGACTTCTTTCTCTTTTTCATTTCTCACCTCCAGTCATATTTTCTGATCCAAGATCATTTCTTGCTATTGTACTTATTCCATCCCATATTAACAATGCTATTCCACTACCCTTTCCTTCCTCCCTGTCCTTTTGAAAAGTGACATATCCCTGAATATTTAGTTCCCAGCTTTGATCTTCTTGTAACCTCCCAGTCTGCTTCACAGTGCTTCTGACCTACTGCACACTCCTCCCAGTCTGCTTCACATTGTTGGTTGTTACTTTCATCTCCAGTTTCCTCTTTAAATTTCCTGAAGGTGCTAACTGTTGTCGTGGCTTCTATAGATGCTGAAAATCCCCAAGACCCTTGTATGATCAACTGCAGGTCTTGACAATGATGGTCAAGAGGGTGTTAATCAAGAAGAACATTCTGTACACTTTGCAACACGGGCCATTTGGAATATCTCGCTGGTCCATTTGACTCAGTGTTGCACCAGGTCCATTGGGTCCAGGTCTCAGTGCAATTAATTCTCAGACTCACTCACAGGTTGTGAACATCCCTCACAAGGCCTGTATTTGTTTCCATTCCTTAGTTCCTGAGAAGATGGTTAGACAATGATCTTACAGGGTGGTTAAGTATCAAACACATTGGTGCAGAGATGGAGTCAGATTTGTTTAAAAACACCAGATTAGATGAAAAGAAATTCTCAAATCCTCTCTATGACCCTCATTCTTTACCTTAAATTGATGCCCTTCGGATACTGAGTCTTTCACTAATGCCCCTCACAATTGTTTACAACTCAATCAGCTCCTTCTTTGGCCATCTCTGCTCTAAGGAAACCAGCCCCTCTCTACTTAGTCTTCCTTCATAGCTCAATTGCTTCAACTCCAGACACAGACACAATACCCTAACCCTAATTCCGGTTAATCTCCTCTGCACCCTCTCTAGCGCAGACACATCCTTTCTTTAGTGTGGCAACCACAACTGCACAGTCACTTCTGAACTATCATGTTATCTCTAGTTCTTTTGTTGCCTTAAATCTGTGTCCTTGAATTATTGGTCTTCCAGCCATTGGAAGCAGTTTTTCTTCCCTTTATTTACTGTGTTTTTTTTTAAGGAAGATAACCACTCAAATTCTCCAACATGCATGATGGAATTTGAACGCAGATACTCTAGAACTGTGGAAAATCAAGCCTTCAGTTCAGAGGGTGGGGATTAACTGTCACTTCAAAATAATGAAGTCATTTTTGCCTAAACATTGTGCGAGAGCTTTGGTATATGAAGTGAGGAGACTTCCAAACAGAAGACTCTAGACATTTAGGGTCTATCTCACTGCTCCAGAATCGATCACTGCAGTAATGCACACGTTTTCCCTGTTTTGAGGAAAAAGAGAAGGGACATTGTATACTTTCATGGGATATACCAAACTTACTAACATTTGTGATTTTTTTTTCAGGCAGCTTTTTCTGACTTTCTGCAGAGAAGCTCTCGTGATTTATCCAAACATGTCAGAGTGGTGGTAAGTTTTATTTCATAAAGTTATTGAGTATAAGGATGGACAAGTTATGCTGCAGCTTTATAGAACTTTTGTTAGGCCACACTTGAAATATTGTGTACAGTTCTGGTCACCACACCATCAGAAGGATGTGGATGCTTTGGAGAGGGTACAGAAAAGGTTTACCAGGATGTTGTCTGGTATGGGGGATTTTAGCTATGAAGAAAGGTTGAATAGACTGGGTTTGTTTTCACTGGAACACAGGAGGTTGAGGGGCGACCTGATAGAAGTTTATAAGATTGTGAATGGCATGGATAGAGTGGAAAGTATGAGACTTTTTCCCAGGGTGGAGGGGGTCAATTACTATGGGACACAGGTTCAAGGTGTACAGGGGAAGTTTAAAAGAGATGTGCGAGGCAAGTTTTTCACACAAAGGGTGGTGAGTACCTGGAGCACGCTGCCAGCGGAAGTGGTGGAAGCAGACACAATAGCAGCATTCAAAAAACACCTAGACGAGTACATGAATGGGAAGTGAATAGAAGGATACAGATCCTGTAAGTGAAGACAGTTGTAGCGTGAAAGGGTAAAATGCAGGTTTGGAGGGCCTTCTTTGTCCTTCTTTGTTCAGCTGTAAACTGACTTGATGCAGTGTAGAAATTGCTAATTGTGAAAACTGTCACCAATTATTTTAAGGTGATATCTCTGCTTTTCAATTCTATCCCTTGAGAAGTGGACTCCATGAGATTGGTTTGCTTTTGTTTTTATGGTCTCATTTATCTGAATCGGAACTTTGAGTCATCTCTGTATCCAAATATCCTACACATCAGCGGTTAGCACTGCTGCCTCACAGTGCTAGAGATCCGCGTGTGATTCCAGCCCTGGGTGACTGTATTTGTGGAGTTTACACGTTCTCCCCATATCTGCATGGGTTTCTGCTGGGTGCTCCGATTTCTTCCCATAGTCCAAAGATGTGCAGGTTAGGTTGTTTGGCCATTCTAATAAAAAAATGCCCTGTAGTGTCCAAGAATGTGCAGGTTACGTGGGTTAGCCATGGTCAAAAACCCCATGTGGGGTTACACAGGGATTGGGAGGGGTGGTAATGGTAGGTCTGGGCGGGATGCTGTTCAGAGGGTGGTGCAGAGTCTTTCTGCACTGTAGGGATTTTATGATTCTACTCACATCCTGACCATCAGACTTAAATTTCTGTGATACACTTAGAAAACTGTACCACCAGAGACAGTCTACACTTGAACCAAGCTGAGACTGGTGTTGTATTGAGCTGCATAGATAGGGATGTGAAGAGAGCTTTCAACTATGTGGTGAGGTAAGGAAACAAATTTGGGAAGACATAGTAAATCAAAGAGCAGAGAGAAGGCAAAAGATAAAGCTATTAGTATGTAAAATGATAAATGAAGGTGACAGGAAAGATAGACAAAACAAGCTAAAAGTAAATGAACGGATAAGAGTCCAGGTTATTAAAATACTGAAAAAGGACACTTTTATAGGCTCTGAATCTAAATGCACTTAGTATTTAAAATAAATCGGATGAACTGCTAACACAAGTAGAAATAAATAAATACAATCTGATACAAAAACAGAAATTGCTGGAAAAGCCCAGCAGTCTGGCAGCATCTATGGAGAGAAATCATAGTTAACATTTTGGGTTGAGTGACCCTTCCTCAGAACTGATGGTAGCCAAGAAAATTGTTTATATGCAGACGATAGGGTGGGGGAGGGCGTAAGGAGTAGATGATAGGTGAGGATAGAGCCCAAGAGAGACAAGAGCAGTTAGACAGGCAAATGAGTGGATAACGATCTGGCAAGGAGAGTGAATAGCTGTTAATGGGGACTGTCAGTGGCTAACAGTGGGTGGTGTTTAATGGCAGACTATATGATAACAGATAGTGTGGGGTTGGAGTAAGGACATGGGACAGCTCAAGCCCTAAAGTTATTGAACTCGATATTGAGTCAGGAAGGCTACAGGGTCCCCAGGCGGAAAATGAGGTGCTGTTCTTCCAGCTTAAGCTGAGTTTTGCTGGAGCACTGCGGCAAGCCTGAGGCAGAGACATTAGCCAGGGAACAGGATGGTGTGTTGACGTGGCAGGCAACTGAAAGTTCAGGGTCTTTTTTGCGAACAGAATATAAATGTTGTCTGAAGTGATCACCCAGTCAACACTTTGTTTCCCTAATGTAGAGGAGACCACATTGTAAACAGCGAATGCAGTAGACTAGATTGCATGAAGTGCAGGTAAAGCGCTGCTTCGCCTGGAAGGTGTACTTGGGCCCTTGGATGCTGAGGAGGGAGCGAGTAAACAGACAAGTTATACACCTTCTGCAGTTGTAGCGGAAGGTGCCGTAAGGCTGTGGGGGATGTTGGGAGTGAAAGAAGAGTGGACCAGGGTGTCCTGTAGGGAACAGTTTCTGTGGAAGACTAACAAGGGAGGGGAGGAGAATATATGCATGGTGGGGACATCTCGCTGGAGGTGGCTGAAATGGCAGCTAATGATCCTCTGGATGTGGATGCTGGTGATGTCAAGGGGGACCCTATCACTGTTACGAGAAGGAAGAGAGGGGATGAGGGCTGAAATGCGGGATATGGGCAGATCCAGCTGAGGGCCCTCTCAACAACAGTGCAGGGGAATCCTTGGGTTGAGGAGGAGGGTGTATATTTTGGAGGCTCCCTTGTTGAAAGTGGTATCATAGGAACAAATGAAATGAACACAGAGGAACTGAGAGAATGGAATAGTCTTTGCAGAAAGCAAGGTGTGAGCATGTATATCCCAGGTAATTGTGGGAGCTGGTCGGTTAATAGTGGATATTGGTAGCCAGTCTATCCCTCAAAATAGAAACAGAGATGTTAAGGAAGGAGTCAGAGATGGACCAGGTGAAGGTGAGAGAGGGGTAGAAATTGGAAGCAAAACTTCTTTTCCTTTCAGGCATCAAGGAACACAAGAGGCAGGAACCTAGAGATTCCCACAGCCCTCCAGAACCTTTCTCCCCTCCCCTTCCCTGCGACTCCAACCCCTCCCGCAACCCCACTTCCTGTTGTGTATTCACTATTCCTCCTGACCTTCTGCTCTCTTTCTGAACGTTCTTTACTCAGCAAAGGTCTCAGTTTTATTTCTCTGCGTCCCCACCTTAATACACCCGCCTAGCTAGATTGTTATCCACTCCTTTGTCTGTCTAACTTCTCTCTCTTTGGGCTCTGTCCCCACCTGTTGTTTACTCCTTATCACCTCCCCAGCCCTATCTTCTGCATATATACTGATATTTTCCTGGTTACCATCAGTTCTGAGCAAGGGTCACTCGGCCTAAAATGTTAATGCTGATTTCTCTCCACAGATGCTGCCAGACCTGCTGAGAGCTCCAGGAATTTCTGTTTTTGTTTCTGATTTACAGCATCTGCAGTTCTTTCGGAATTGATTAATCTGATAGTCATTATAGAGATGTAGTTGCAGGGTGATGCAGATCAGAAACTGAATATTGAAGGAAATAGGACATTTAGGAAGGATAGAAAGTTAGGAAAAGATGGAGGGTCAGCTCTTTTAATTTTGATGGTATTAGCATAATACAGAGGGATGACCTAAATTCAGGAAACAAGGATGTAGAACCAGTTTAGGTAGAGATGAAAAATTTTAAAGGCAGAAGTGAGAGTGATGTACGCTCTGCTAAAAGTAAACAGTTGATAGTGTGGGGTGTAATGGACAAAATAATGGGAGCTTGTCAGAAAGATACAACAACAATGATAATGAATTGGATTTTTAAAAATTTTTTTGGTATTTTATAAAGTTACTGTTTAAAATCAGGAGCTACAACCTAAGCAGTGGTATATAAATTATCCACTGTAGAACGGTTGCAGTTAATTAATTAAGGGACTTAGTTTGACCTATAATTGCTGCTGAGCTAACACTTTAGTTTCAAAATATATAAATATAGCATCCCATTCTGACCTAACATCAAGTGTCACTTAAACACAGTGTATGGAGTTTGGTGAGTTCTGGAATTAGGTGAGGAAGAGTAAGTAGGTACTGCTTTGCCTTTTCCTTGAAACATTTTCATCCTGTGTAGAATTTGGTGTTTACTCTTCTTATTCACCCATAACTATCCAATTTATAGACACAGGAGAAGGAGCTGATGGGTGAGTAATTCTACTTTCTACTCTCCATTCTCTAGTTTATAGTACATAGTTCAAAAGTAAACTTAAGGTATAGCATGGCAGCTTCGTGATGGGGAATGCCCATCCTGTGGCATGTATAGATTCATGCATATTTCACACGACTTAGTAAAGCACCTATACACGAATTGGCACAAGTTTCAGAAACTCAAGCTTCAGCCTTCAGAGCTCGAGTGACAACTGGAATTATGGTTAGGAATCACCAGGCAGAGGACAACCTGATTAACCCATTTAGAATGGTGAACACATTGTAGGATGGGGTAAGAGGCAGATAGAAAATAGGTGATCACAGGGCAGTCAGACAGGTAGTGCTGGGTTCTGCACTACCTGCCTGAAATGATTTTGCTTGCTAATCAGATTTCCATTCTAGTGTGGTCTGCAGGAGTGTGGGAACCAGGAGAGAATATTAGAGAGTAGTACCAGGGTGCAGAGAATACTGGGAGAGACATATAACTCTAGAATCGATAATAACAGGTTAATAGGTGGCATTGGAGTAAGGGAGAAATGAAAACATTCAGAACCATGGTAATTGTGCATGTATTTGAATGAATGTAGTATAGTAAATGAGATTGGGAGTTACAGCAAAGCTGCATGTGTTCAGTCCAACATGAAAAGAGCTATGCTAGGGGAATGAGGTGGGCCAAGTACATCAAGTCTCAGTGGGGGAGTATACAGGGCATAGTGATCATAGAATCATTAGCTATAGGATGACAGTGGATAAATAACAATGGACAATTCAGAGTAAGAATAATTAACTGGTGGACTGCTAACTGCAATTTGGCAAGAACAGAGGTGGGTTGGGCAGACTGAAGTCAAAGATTGATGGGGAAAAACTGTAGCTGAATAATAGGCTACCTTCAAAGAAGAGATGGTTTCTAGAAACACTAATTCAGGATAGAATTGATGGTCAGATGGAAATGTGAGTTAATTAGGGAGATACAACATGGATTTCTTAAGGGAAGATTATATTTAACCAACTCCCTGGAGTAATTCGAAGAGGTAACAGAGAAGGTCAACGAGGATAATGCTGTTGATGTGGTGTATATGGACATGCAAAAGTAGTTTGATACAGTATCACACAACAGATTTCTGTTTGAGATCATCAAATAAAAAGATAGAGTGAGGACCTGTCTCCTCACCCTGCCAATGTGAGTAAAAGGCAATAGCAAACAATACTGACATAAAACTGCCATGAAGAAAAGCTTAAGATGCTGTATCAGCAGACTGAGTTAAGGACTTACCTTAATGGAATAAAGGTAAAGATAAAGGACCATATGGCTGCTCTCTCATTAGAGGGAGAGATGACTGGTGGTGAGTTTAACCTGAAGGTCACCAGGCTGCAGGAAAGGGGTTGAGAGGGCAGGATCTTCAACTCAGCCGGTACATGAATTGAATGGGCGTACACTCAAATTCAGTGTTTTAGCTTAAAGGACAAGGATGTGCCCTACAGGTTGATCTTAATCTGCAAATATCACCAACTGTCATTTATATGTTTGCATTAACCTGCACAATTAGCAATCTACATGGTTATTGTGCAGACTTACATTGCCTTGCATTTGATAAAATTAGGCTATTTACAAGTCTACACTTGCTGTAAATCAACTTCCTGTATAGAATGTGCAATCAATGCATAAAACAATAGGCTCAGTATCTACACAGTAACGTTCCTCCTATACATGTGTCGACTGCCTGTGTAATGTTGGATCCCTTGGCCATTAAATCAAATACCTTGTGATGCAATAAATGCACAGTCTCCAGGAATAATCTTTTCTCTTTAATCCCAGTGTGACGGCACTGATTTGACACCCAGAATCCAGGATCTGAAATTCCAGTGTATCGTCTTCCTCAACATCCCCAGGTGAGCAAGGGAAATAAATTCCCAAATGCAGGATTAATTAAGGAGCCCCTTGGAGGCTTAGACCTAAGGAACGAACAGCTTCAGCCGGAAAAATGAAATCCTCAGTGAGTTGGCTGATTTTAGCCAGGGTTGCCCATTATCTAACAATGCACTTTCTGGAAATCTGTTGGGCTATGAAGGATTGAGATTGACCATGGTATCTCTGCCTGCCAGTGCACGCAGTAAAATCCTACACCTACAGGGTGGGTGGCAGGAGCAATTAAAGACGGGATGGTAATGGAACATGTCAAAACAAAACTAGTCTGTCCCCTATTACCTTGTGTGGTGCCCCTTTCATTATTCCTTTAGGCCTAACAAGGGAAGCATTTCCTAAATTCGTGCCATAACCCCAAAAACTCTAAATACTTCCCTTTAATGATTCATTGAAGAGATTTTTTTCTGTGCTGTATTCTTCTATGAGAAGATGACTGACAGGCGATCAACCTTTGACCATAATTTCCAGTTCTTTTTAATGATAGATTGAAACTGGTGCTCCGTACAAAATTCTGCTCCCTTCCCCTGTAGGACAACAGTGCCGTTCCAATCTACAGGAATTTTTGGCTCTATGTTCTCTGTGTAAAATATCTAAAAGGGAGCAATGTATTGACATGCTTGTAAACAACAACAACTTTTTTAAAAGCACCATTTAAAAGGCATCTGGATGGATACATGAATAGGAAGGGTTTAGAGAGATATGGGCCAATTTATGGGAAATGGGATTTGATTAATTTAGGATATCTGGTCGGCATGGACGAGTTGGACCGAGAGGTCTGTTTCCGTGCTGTACAACTCTATGACTCTATAAAAATAACTTCAAGTGCCTTCAACACAGTGAAATGGTATGAATTGAATACTGGAGTAAGGCTTATCTATTGCAGGTATTGTGCAGGCACAATGCCTTGGGGTAACCCTGGAGACCATCGAGACTTTGAACCACAGCGTCATGATGATGGATGCATTGAGGTCATTGGCTTTACGATGGCATCTCTGGTGAGTTTTAATTTTTGGATTGCTGAAGTGAGTTTCCCAAAGCCCTGTTTTGTAAGAGGTCAATTTAAAATTAAATGCCATAGACTCTGCTAGATTTAAACCAACAACATTATTCATGTGTTCACTCCCAGAAAAATCGTAAACAACTACACACTATCATGGACATAGACACACAGACCAGACACACGCACACATATTCAAACACACACACTCAGACACACACAGACACTGACAGATAAAGGCACGTACATATATACACACACACACACGCACATATATAACAAGCACATACACAAACACACCGATACATGGGCATCATTGTTCTCTTATCACTTCGAAGCCTGTTTCTGATTTGATTTTGAGGCCTCTACAGTCTGCAGAACATTCATCCCAACTTGGGGACTATGATAATACTTGTCTTGTTTACTTCAGGCTGCACTGCAAGTCGGGGGTCATGGTGAGCGGCTCCATCAGTGTCGAGAGGTGATTCTTACCACTTACAAGACAATCCCCATCCAGGTGGATGGGGAGCCGTGCCGGCTGAGCCCATCCGTCATCCGGATCTCACTAAGGAACCAGGCCAATATGGTGCAGAAATGCAAGCGGAGAACCTCCATGCCACTATTGAATGAGTGAGTGCTTTCTACTTCAATTCGTGGGATAAATTATTTCTATCATTGGGGGTCAGTTAGCTCGGTTGGCTGAGCGGCTGGTTTGTAATGCAGAGTAATGTCAATGATGTGGGTTCAATTCCCACACTGGCTGATGTTATTGTGAAGGACTTCCGTCTCACCCTCTGTCGTTGCCTGAGCTGTAGTGGTCCTCAGGTTAAACCACTCCAGTGGTTTCTCTAATATGAGGTCAGCCTTATGGTTCCTTTACCTTACTTCTGTCATAACTTTTAATTTTTGTTGTTCATTCCTTGGAAAATGTTGTGAAGTTTCAGTTGGCTAAGGGCATGTGGTATTGGCATAGTAGTAATGTCACTAGGCCCATGTCTGGGGACTTGGGTTCAAAATCCAGCACCTGAACTATTGGAATTTAAATTCAACAAACACATTTGCAAATGAAAGCTGGTCTTAGTAATGGTGACCAAGACAATTATCATCAATTGTCATAAAAACCCATCTGATTCATTAATATCCTTGAGGGAAGAAAATCTGCTGTCCTTTCCTAGTCTCGTCTACAGGTGACTCCAGACCCACAACAGTGTGGTTGACTCCTAACTGCTCTCTGAAATGACCTAGCAAATCATTGAGTTCAGAGGCCTTTGGGGTGATTTTGATTTGATTTAATTTAATTTATTATGTCACATGTACTGAGATACAGTGAAATCTATTGTTTTTCATGCTATATAGGCAAATCATACCTTACATAAATATATCAGGGTAATAGAACAGAATGCAGAAAATAATGTTGACTTTGCCAGCAACAGCTACATCACATGAAACTTTTTTTTTCAAAAACAAATTAATGCCTTGGAATTTCACAACTTACGCCCAATTTCAGAAGAACCAAATCACTAAATTGGCATGAAATACATAAACTGGCTAACATTATTGGCTGTTGATGAGATGATGAGGAAAGCAGTTGGAAAGCGTTTAAAAATCAAGCTAAGAAAATGGGAGACAAATTTGTACTCATGGTCAACAGAACAGAGTATTATCACAAAGACAAGGAGGTTATAAACAAAAATATCTCTATTGATTAATAGCATCTAATGCTCACCAAAACTGAGCACAAGGAACAGCTGAAGAAAATGGGTAAAAAGCTAGAATAAAAAGACATTACTGGCATTTGTGGGAGGAAGCGAACAAGCCTTTTTCAGATATGTCAAGAGCATCGAGTTGCCAATGCTTATTGAGCCATTAATGAATGTTCAAGGACATGTAACAAAGGACACATTGGATATGGAAGAATTAATACTTCGCTGTCTGTCTTCGCTTTCAAAGATAATAGACTCTGTTAGATTAGATTTTAATATGAACTTCTCTTAAATTAGAAGATCAAATAGATTTGGAAAGAATTAAAAATTTGAGAAGAGAACGAACAGAAGGCCTGAATGATGCCCACTGACAGTCTCGAAGATGGGACACATACTGTGCAAGCACCTCATCCATGTTTGTCATGTTTCAACACATGCTGGGGTGGTTTCTATAAATGGAATGGAACCTAATGGAGTGGCAAGGCAGACAAGTCTTCTCTGCTATTCATTACAATAGTTGCTCATCATTCAACTTAGTATTTCCACTTTCTCCCTATACTCTTTGATCCTTTTAGCTCTGAGAACTGTATCTAACTCCTCTTTCTCAGTTTGACATCAGAAATGGTGCTCGAGGGAATTATTTGAGTTTGATTTATTATTGTCACATGTACTTAGATACAGTGAAAAGTGTTGTTTTGCGTGATCCATAGGCAGTTTGTACCATACAAAGTGCATCAGGGTCATAGAACAGAGTGCAGAATACAGTGTTACAGCCGCATAGAAGGTTCAGAGAGATCAGAATTAACATTTGAGAGGTTTGTTCAAAAGGTGGGAAAGAAGCTTTCCTTGAATCTGTTCGTATGTGTATTCAAACTTTTATATCTTCTACCGATTGAAGAGGATGAAAGAGAGTATAACCAGGGTGGGAGGGGTCTTTGATTATGTTGGTTGCTTTCCTGAAGCAGTGGGAAGTATAGATGGAGCCTGTGGATGGAAGGCTGGTTTGTGTGGCGGACTGGGCTATGGGCGCAACTCTTGTGTAGTTTCTTGTAGTCTTGGTAAGAGCATTTGCCATACCATGCTTTGATCCATCCACATAAGATACTTCCTATTGTGCATCTAGAAAATTTGTTAGGAGTCTTTGTGGATATGCTGAATTTCCTTAGCTTCCCGAAAAAGTAGAGAAGTTATTGTGCTTTCTCGATCGTTGTGACGACATGGGTGGACCAGGACAGATTGTTGGTGATCATCACTCCCAGGAACTTGACAATCTTGACCATCTCCACCTCAGCACCATTGATGCAGACAGGACGTGTCCTCCATTCTGCTTCCTGAAGTCAATGACTAGCTCCTTCATTTTGTCGACATTGTTGGAGAGATTGTTGTCTTTACACCATGCCGCTAAACACTCAATCTTTTTCCTGTATTCCACTTCGTTGTTGTTTGAAATCGAACCTACAACAGTGGTGTTGTCGGCAATATGATAAATGGAGTTGGGTGGAATTTGGCCACACAATCGTGAATGTATAAGGAGTATAGCAGGGGGCTGAATACACAGCCTTATGCGGCACTGCTGTTGAAGAAGTTTTGGAGATAGATGTATGGTTACATAGATGGAGAAGGCATATTGGGCAACTGAACATGGGATTTCATTTATTGAGTGCAGGAGGGGGCTGGCTAGTTGGCTGGATGGCCAGTGTAGATCAGATTAGAGCGGTTCGATCTTGGTTCTGACCGGGGTGAATTTGGACCTTTCCTCTTTGCCATACCAGTGATTTCGGTTATGGTACTGTGCGTTGGACCAGGCTTCTGGCAGAGAACTGAAGAAGAAGCAATGGGTACAAAGGATTGAAAGTATTTAATTCAAGAACAGGAGGGCAGATATCTAAAAGAATCAGCAAGAGAAGTGAAAGCGATACAGGAGAGAAGTTCTTGAGTCAGCAAATGTTAAGTCAGCTGTTTCGATCTGGAATACGCTGCCTGACAGTGCTGTGGAGACAGGTTCAATTAATGCATTCAAATGAAATTAGAATGTTATCTGAAAAAGAAGAATGTGCAGGTTTATGGGGAGAAAGCGTGAGAATGACATTAAGTGCATTGCTCATTCCAAGAGCCAGTATAGACATGATGGGCCAAATGATTTCATTCTGCACTCTGACAATTGTGTAACTTTATGATAAAATAGCAATGCCTTACAAATCCAATTGTATTTTTGAAGAAGTTGCAAAGATGATGGATGAGGGAAGCCAATAGGTAGTGTCTGCTTAGATCTCCAAAGTCTTTTAATATGGACCTCTCAGGAGCTTTCTGTATAAAATTAAATCCCCTGGTATCATAGTAATGGCCCATATCAGTGCCAACAACGTAGGTCGAAGGAGGGATGAGGTCCTGCAGGGAGACTTTGAAGATCTGAGTGCAAACAGGATCTCAATTGTAAAACTATCCACATTAGCCCAAATGCCGAACATGATGAGTATTGGAATGGGAAGGCAGAGAAAATGACTCATGAAATGGTTCAGAAGAGAAGGCTTTGGACATTGGGATAGGATCTGAGGGAGCCAGAACCTGTACAAGTTGGACCGGATACACTGGGACAAATGTCTTTGCAATATGGTTTGCAAGTTTTACGAGGACATTTTGACCAAATCCACCTGGTGAGTAATTAATATGCTTGAGTACAACACTGGTTTCCATCCTGTCTGGCTTTACTCAGTTGAAGAAGTAGAAAGTGATATTGTGCAATCCCATGGAATTTTTCTGATGAGATGGTCAAAATTTTAAATATCTCCTCCTCAGTCTGACACAGGGAGTCACCGATTTACAAACTTCTGTACTTACAAATGCGATCTCAGGGGTGTAATTTTAAATATCTGACATTTGCACATTTCCGGTACTTATGAACAGCTGCTTTGTATTGCCCTGCATTGTGATCTGACTTGTGTACAAACTACCTTGCGGACAGACACAGGAACCTGGGAACTGCCTGCACCTCATCTTTCTTAATTTATTTGTGGGATGTGGGAACCATTGTTTTAGACCATCCCTGATTGTCCTGGAGAAGATGGCAGTGAGCTGCCTTCCAGAACCACAACATTTCTTTAGGGGAGGAAGGATGACAGCAGGGAGGGATGGTAGGGTCATTGCCAATGCTGCTGGGAAGGATGTTGCAAGATTTTTACACAACATCAGTGAAGGAATAATGATACTGTTCCAATTCAGGACAGTGAAAGGCCTTGGAGGTGATCTTGCTGGTATTTGTCACCTTATTTATACTCCACAAATGCCACCTCTGATGGGTCTGTCCTTTCGATGAGATTTAGGAATAGTGATGGCATTGTGTTGGACATTATTTATAAGATATGATTCTGAGAATATGACTGTGTCATACCCATTTTTGGTAGTTGATCCTTAGTGTTCATAAAAGGGACTTTGCAGGATTGACTATGTTGTTATCATTTCCATTGCCTGGGTCCAAGTGGATGATTTTTGTTGTATTTCTTCTGAACTTTCCTGTGGTCTTTAGGTAGAACTGAGTGGTTTGCTAGGCCATTGTTTTGGGAGTCACAATGTAGGCCAGACCAGCAAACCCCTTTCCCAAAGGGCATCAGTGAATCTGATGAGATTTTATGATAACTTATCACAGTCATTATTACTAAAAGTATCCTTCAATTGTAAATTTATCAATTAATTGAAGTTGAATACCACAAGTCTCTTGGCGGGACTTGAACCTGTGCCTCCAGAATACTATTGACATTGCCACCACACCCATGCTCCCTCCATGTGCTACACTGAGTACTGATGCATGCAGATGATTGACCTTGCTCTGCTTTCTTCACTGTCTAAAAGTAGTATGTTCCTCTCCCTCGGTCCTCCTTGGTCCATGGCTGATGTGGTGTGCTGTTCCCTACAGTATCCACAAGGTGCAGCATGCTGATCACAGACGGGTCTCTGCTCCTCCTGATAGCTTCACTCTGTGAGTAACAATCCTCTCTGTGCACTCGCGCCTTGCATTCTTGGCCCTGCTCCTTCCTGTCTTTTTTTCCGTCAATGCATTGCAAAGTAAACCCACCAAAGCCACAATATATCAAAGACCACAACGAGTGAGGGACTGAGGAAAACAAAGAGCTGTATCCCTGATGTCTTATATAATATAGTTTGGTCTGTTTTGTTATTGTGTGTGTTTTGTGTATAAAACCCATGATTATGTCAGTAATATCAATTTCCAAGTAAGACAGAATTTAATACACTATTTTATGCCCAGTATCATGGCTTACCTCCTATTCTATTTTATTTTACTTCACCCATGACTGGTATGAATCCTGTTTAATAAATGTTCAAAACCTAGTTGCCTAGAGTCATAGAATCATACAGCACGAAAATAGACCCTTCGGTTTAACCAGTCCATGTGACCATAATCCCAAACTAAACTAGTCCCACCTACCTGAGCTTGGTCTGTATCCTTCCAAACATTTCTTATTCATGTAATTATCTAAATGTCTTTTAAATGTTGTAACTGTACCTGCATTCACCACTCCTCTGGAAGTTCATTCCACACATGAATTGCTCTCTGTTTAAAAAAATTGCCCCTCATATCTTTTTTAAATCTTTCTCCTCTCACCGTAAAAATATGCCCCCTAGTCTTGAAATCCCCCACCCTAGGGAAAGGACACCTGCCATTCACCTTATCTACAAACCTCATGATTTTATAGACCTCTACATGGTCACCCCTGAACCTCCTACGGTCCAGTGAAAAAAGTCCTAGCCTATCCAGTCTCTCCCAATAACTCAAACCCTCCATTCCCAGCAACATCCTGGTAAATCTCTTCTGAACTCTCTCCATGATGTGGAACTGCTCGTGTTGGACTGGGGTGTACAAGGTCAGAAGTCAGACGACACCAGGTTATAGTCCAACAGGTATATTTGAAATCACAAGGTTTTGGAGTACTGCTCCTTCGTCAGGTGACTTAGGTCACTCGACCTGATGAAGGAGCAGCGCTATGAAAGCTTGTGATTTCAAATAAACCTGTTGGACTATAACCTGGTGTCGTCTGACTTCTGAACTCTCTCCAACTTAATAATATCCTTCCTATAACAGGATGAACAGAAATAGATATTAAACATAATATCAAATATAAAACAAAAAATGGGATGCTGGAGATCTGAAACAAACAAAAACAGAAAATGCTGGAGAAACTCAGCAGGTCTGATAGGATCTGTGGAGAGAGAAACAGTAAATGTTTCAAGTCCAGTGACCCTTCTTCAGACCATATAAGACAATATTGGATTCCTTTCTCCTATTCCACTCTCCATTGCAGCCATTATATTTGTTTTGGGGATTTGAGAAGTGGTTTTACAGCTGAATGCGTGCCCTGCTACTATCCCTCCCATTTATCTGGGCTGGGACTGAGCACTGACCCATGTTCCCAAGTCATCCCAGGAAAACAGATTCCAAAGTGGGAGTTGGAAACCCCTGGTTCTTTTGCCAGTTTGCTTAAATATGTGTTCCCTGGTAGCGACCTTTCTGTTATGTCATTAGCATTCATGATTTTGCGCACCTCTTTCAAATTTTCTCCCTCTCTTCTCTGTCCAGAGGAGAATGGTCCCAGCTTCTCTAGTCTCTCCACATTAGTGAAGATTCCTGCAACCAGTCTGATAACTCTGCTGTATTTCCAGCCCAAACCTTTGGCATCTTTCTTAAAATATAGTGCCCCCAAACCTAATATTCTTTCACAAGATGTGAGTGTCACTGACAAGATCTGCATTTGTTGCCCATCTCTAGTTGCCCCTGAATTCTGTGGCTTGTTTGGCCATTTTAAAGGGTAGTTAAGAGTCAACTACATTGCAGTAGGTCTGGAGTGACATGGAGACCAGACCGGCTAAAAATGGTAGATCTCCTTCCTTCAAGGATGTTAGTGAAGCAACCAGACTGTTTTTTTACAACAATTGTTTCATGACCACCATTACTGAAACCAGCCTTGTAATTCCAAATATATTTATTGAATTTAAACACCAACTGTTCATTTTGTGGAATTTAAACTCATGACCCCAGAACATTAACCTGGACCTGTAGGTTACGTAGCCCAGTGGCATTACTGCTGTGCTTCCTCCTGTCCCCATACTGAACAAAATATTCTAGCTAAGACTTGACAAGTGCGCTACACGATTTAACATAACTTCCCTTTGTATGCCTTTGTCTATAAAACCATTTGCTTTCTAGCAATCTTCTCAACATGTCCTGCAACCTTCAGACATGTGTGCTGAGGTCTGGTGTACATAAGTCCCTCTGTCTGTTACACCCTTTAAATCTGCATCAACTTTTTTTTCTTTATCTCATCAATGTGTATCACTTCACACTGCTCCAGTTAAATTACGTCTTCAACGTCCATTAGCCTTTCATCATTTTGTGCATATCCTTATAAAGTTCATTGCTGCCAATCGTACTGTTAATTTAGTACATTTCAGGCAGAGTTGGTAGGGGTGGGTGGAATGTGGAGGTGAGGGAGTAGGTGGAGAATGTAGGTGGGTGAAGAGTGATGTTGGCAATGGGAAACTGGATTAGAAAGTTGGGGAAGGAAATGGTTTACGTTTGAAACATGTGAGTGTGGAGTGGGGCAGGGGCTAGTTGGAGTGTGGCTGGGTATAGTAAATGCATGTTAAATTGATATACATGTGAGGTACATTTAACTAGGTCATGGTAGACATTTCCTAGAAAAGGTATTGTGTGTGACTGAAGTTAATGCATCTGTCTAAAACAGTGTGACTACAGCAGCAGTTATGCCTAGTCAGCAATATTGAGTGAAAAATTCCAATCAAGAATCCTGTGGATCCATGACACTGAGATGGTCCACTCAGATCTCCACTCCCTCCTGTTCCTGATCACAGGCTCTGGTACCAGCTTTCATTTTTACTGGTGTCTTATCGACTGTGTTTTCCAGCCCTCACACTGTCCCTGGTCGGCTGAGGATCCGGGTGAACAGGATCAGCCTCCAAGACTATGAAAGCCCACAATACAACAAGGAACGGCTACAAGAGACCTGTGAGTAAAGATGAACTTACTGATGGTAATGTTCACTCACCATGTGGGCACTTGCAGGATTAGATGAATACCACCTTTCCGTCTGTTTTTATCATTCAGGAGAGGGTAAAAACCTGACAAGACATTAAAGCAACCTCGTACCTGATGGATAAAACTCAGTCTGGTTATCCATTACATAGGGTGAGAATGACAGACTTTGGGAAATCTCTGCAAAAGAGGAAGCTCAGACACTGAACATGTTCAAGTCAGAGATAGATTTCTAGATATCAGTGACATCTAGGGACAGCTACAGAATGCTGGGGAAAATCAGCAGGTCTGGCAGCATCTGTGGAGAGAGAAACAGAGTTAACGTTTCAAGTCTGGTATAAATCTTCTTCAGAACTGAAGGGTGTTGGAAAATGTCATTTTTATATACCTTGACAGGTGGAGGAGGAGCAAGAGGGCAGATGATAGAGAAGCCCCATGCAAAAGGCAAAGAGGTTGTTAATGATGGTGAAAAGGAAAAAGAGATGTAAAATGGGTGAGAAAGGGTGAGAATTGCTCCTCTCCAAAGTTTCAAGACACAAACAAGTCAAGGCTGGACGGTGGGAGAGGGCAGGATGGAAACAAAGTAAGATGGAGAACAGACATGTGGCCAGGCTCTGAAGTTGTGGAATTCAACATTGAGATGGAGAGCCTGTAAAGTGTTTACATGGAAAATGAGGTGTTGTCCTTCAAGCTTGTGTTCTGCTTCATTGGAACATTGTAGCAGCCCAGGATAGAAATTTAACTTGAGAGCAAGATGGCTTATTGAAATGGCAAGTAACTGGGTGGGGTGGGGGTGTGGTCAGATCATTCCTGTAGATGGATTGGAGTGTTCCGCAAAGCGGTTATCCAATCTACATTTGGTCTCGTCAGTGTAATGGAGACATTATTTTAAGCAGTGAACTCAGCAGAGTTGATTGAAAGAAGCGCAAGTATAATACTGCTTCTCTTGGAAACTGTCTCTGGGGACTTTGATTGTGATGAGAGAGGAGGTGAATGGCCAAGTATAACACTTCTGCATGGGAAGGTGTCATGGGAAGTGAGGAAGTGTTAAGAGTGATGAAGGAGTTGACAGGGTGTCATGGAAGGAATGGTCCCTGCGGAATGCTGACAATGGAGGAGAGAGGAAGATGTGTTTGGTGGTGGCATCCTGCTGTAGGTGATGGAAATTGCAGAGGATGATCCTTTGAATGTGGCAACTAGTGAGGTGGAAGCAAGGATAAATTAAACCCTATTGTTACTCTGGGAAGGAACAGAAGTAGTGAGGGCAGAAATGCAGGAGATAAGGCTGAAACGCCCGAGGGGTCCAACCACAGTGGCGAGGGGTCTCCTTAGTTGAGGACAAAAGAGGTCATATTGAAGGCAGCTCAGTGGAAAGTAGCATCATCAGAACAGATGTGACAGAGAAGGAGAAACTGGGAGAATGGAATGGAATGGAAACAGGGTGTGAGGAGATGTAGTCAAGGTAACTGTGATAATCGGTGTGCTTATAATGGATATTGGGAGATAGCCGATCAGCAGAGATTGGCACAGTGAGACCGATGAAGGGAGGCGAATAGTCAGAATGGACCGAAGAACATGAGAGAAGGATGGAAATTGGAAATTGGAAATAAAACTGATGAATTTTTACAATTCTGGATGAGACGAGAAAACAGCACGAAGAAAGAATTGTGAGTGGGAGCCCAAGTAGGGCCAGAACATTGAATGTTCTGCAGATCCCACAAAGAGACAGGAATAGTGGGGACCCATGCAGGCATCTATAGCTATACCTTTGACCTGAAGAAAATGTGATAGGTTAAAGGAGAAGTTGTTGAAAGTGAGAATAACCTCAGCAGTGAAGGCAAATGATGGTAGATGGCGACTGTGCAGACGTCTTTCCAAGGAAAAAGCAGAGAGCCTTCAGACCGTTCTGATGGGGAGTGAACGTCCACAGTGAAGAGGCTGTAAGTAGGGCCAGAAAATTGGAAATTGTGGAATCAAGCATAAAGTGTCAGAAGTCACAAATTTGGGTAGGGAGAAACTGAACAAGGGGGATGGTAAAGTAAAGACAAGATGGGAAGATACATGTTCAGTGGGGTAGGAACAGGCTGAAACTATGGGTCTGTCAGAGCAGAAGTATATGTGTGGTTGGGAGACCGTGAAGTGGGAAGTTATGGAGGGAAGTCATCTCCGGTAAGATGAGGTCAGTGATTGTCCTAAAAACTACAGTCTGATTTCGGTGGTGTCATGCTCCAGGGAGATCAGAGGAAGTGTGAGAGAGGTAATCAGCCTGTGCAAGGTGAAGTCAACTGAACCAACTCAACCTCTCAAGTGATGGTTTCTGCTGTCTCGTTATTTTGTATTAATAGTGTCCTTTGCTGATTAATCTTTGGCTGCCATATTAATAATTTGAAAACAGTGTTTAATAGTGACCTAGACAACAAGGTGCAGAGCTGGATGAACACAGCAGGCCAAGCAGCATCATAGGAGCAGAAAGGCTTCGCTGCTGCTTGGCCTGCTGTGTTCATCCAGCTCTGCACCTTGTTGTCTCGGATTCTCCAGCATCTGCAGTTCCTACTGTCTCTGATTTAATAGTGACCTGTCTTGTTGGCAAACGTAATGCCTGTGATGGAGCCTAGTGTGCAGTGGCATACCACAGGGATCAGTGCTGTGTCCCTTATTGTTTGTGATGTTCATAATGATGTAGATGAGAATGTAGGGGGCCTGATAAGTTTGCAGATTGGCCGGATGGTTTGATTGTGAGGAGGTAGGTGTTGGGTTACAGTAGGACATAAATGGATTGGTCAGATGGGCAGGTCAGTGACAGATGGAATTTAAGCCTGAAAAAATGTAAGGTGATGCACTTTGGAAGAACATAGAACAGTACAGCCAAGGAACTGACCCTTCAGCCCACCATGCCTGTGCCGACCATGATGCCATTTTAAATTAATCCCATCTGCCTGCACTGGGACGTTGACTTTTGAACCAGAGGATTGTGGAGATCTGCAATGCACTGCCTGGGAGGGTTGTTGAGGTAGGTGAAATAACTCAACCGAGGTCAATAAGCCATCCTTTATTTACACCGGGCAAGTCCTTGACACTAGTCCAGCTCCCTCAGAGTGTTAGGATGTCTGACACTCCTGTTTTTATCTGTCAGCCAGGGCTCCATAATTGGACCAGATTAACAGCCCCAATCAGGTACCTCATATTCTCTGATGTCCACTTTGCTGACCTTGTGAAACCTCACAACCTTCAGGGAAGGGTAATTATAATTCTGTTAGGCAAGAACTGGGTAACATAAAATGGGAACAGATGCTGTCAGGGAAGAGCACTATTGAAATGTGGAGATTATTTAAGGAAAGCATACTGTGTGTGCTCGATATGTTTGTCCCTAGCAGGCAGGGAAGATGCGGTCGAGTGAGGGAGCCTTTGTTCTCCAGAGAGGTCGAACGACTGGTTAAGAGGAAGAAGCATGCTCATATAAGGTTTAGGAAACAAGGATCGGAAAAAGCTCTAGAGGATACAAGTTAGCCAGGAAGGAGCTGAAGAAAGGGCTTAGGAGAGTGATAAGGGGGCATGAGAAAACCTTGGCAGATGGAATCAAGGAAAACTCCAAGGCTTTTTACATGTATGTGAGGAATAAGAGAATGGCCAGAGAAAGGGTAGGGCCGATCAAGGATTGTAAAGGGAATTCGTGCACGGAGCCTAAAGAGATAGGAGACGTCCTTAAGGAATACTTTTCTTCTGTGTTCACAACTGAGAGGGACCTAGTTGTAGAGGAGGACAGTGTGAAACAGGCTGGTAGGCTAGAGGAGGTTGATGTTAGTAAGGAAGATGTACTAGAAATTTTGATGAAGTTGAAGATAGATAAGTCCCCTGGGCCTGATGGAATTTAACCAAGGATTCTATGGGAAGCGAGGGAAGAGATCGCAGGGCCTTTGGCGATGATCTTTTTGTCTTCACTGTCCACGGGTATAGTGCCGGAAGATTGGAGAAAGGCAAACGTCATTCCCTTGTTCAAAAAAGGGAATAGGGATAACCCTGGAAATTACAGGCCAGTTAGTCTTACTTCAGCGGTGGGCAAATTTTTGGTGGGCAAATTATTGGAAAGGGCTCTGAGAGATAGGATTTATGATCACTTGGATAGGCACAGTTTGATTCATGATAGTCAGCATGGATTTGTGAGGGGTAGATCATGCCTCACAAACCTTATTGAATTCTTTGAAGAGGTGACCAAACACATGGATGAAGATGGGGCAATGGATGTGGTATACATGGATTTAAGTAAAGCATTTGATAAGGTTCCCCATGGTAGGCTCATGCAGAAAGTAAGGAGGTATGGGATAGGGGGAAATGTGGCAGATTGGATTCAGAATTGGCTGACCCTTAGAAGACAAAAGGTGGTAGTGGACGGAAAATATTCAACATGGTGCTCAGTTACGAGTGGTGTACCACAAGGATCTGTCCTGGGCCGCCTTCTATATGTGATTTTTGTAAATGATTTGGATGTAGGAGTGGAAGGGTGGATTAGTAAGTTCACTGACGATATGAAGGTGGGTTGAGTTGTGGATAGTGGGGAGGGCTGTTGTAGGTTACAAAGGGACATTGATAGGATGCAGATCTGGGCTGAGAAGTGGCAGATGGAGTTTAACCCTGAAAAGTGAGAGATGATTCATTTTGGAAGGACAAACTTGAAAGCAGAATACAGGGTTAACGGAAAGATTCTTGGCAGTGTGGAGGAGCAGAGGGATCTTGGGGTTCATGTCCACAGTTCACTGAAAGCTACCACCCAGGTGGATAGATTTGTTAAGAAGGCATATGGTGTGTTAGCTTTCATTAATAGAGGGATTGAGTTCAAGAGCCGTGAAGTTATACTCCAGCTATACAAAAGCCTGGTTCGGCCACATCTGGAGTATTGTGTCCAGTTCTGGTCGCCTCATTAAAGGAAAGATCTGGAAACGTTGGAAAAGGTGCGGATGAGATTTACTAGGATGTTGCCTGGAATGGAGAGAGCTAGGGCATTTCTCTTTAGAACGACGAAGGATGAGAGGTGACTTGATAGAGGTGTACAAAATGATCAGAGGTATAGATAGAGTGAACAGCCAGAGACTTTGTCCTAGGGTGGAGGTAGCTATTACGAGAGGGCATTGTTTTAAAGTGAGTGGAGGTAGATGTCAGAGGTAGGTTCTTTACTCAGAGAGTGGTAGGGGCGTGGAATGCATTGCCGGAGAGGGTAGTGGAGTCGGCCTCGTTAGGGGCATTTAAGCAGCAATTAGATAGGCATATGGACGATAGTATAATGTAGGGGTGGAGGTTAGGTAGACATTAGGTTTAGGGTAAAAGTTCAGCACAACATCGTGGGCCAAAGGGCCTGTACTGTGCTGTACTGTTTTATGTTCTATTAACCTTTAAAAAGCACTCGGATGAGCACTTGAAGCGTCATAACATTCAAGGCTCTGGGCTTATTGCAGGAAACTGGGACTTGTGTAGGTAGTAGCATCTTTCTGGTGATTCAGAGGGCTGAAAGCTTCTTTGTCTTTGTGATTCAAATTATTTATTCTTTCATGAGATATGGGTGTTGTTGGCCAGCATTTGTTACCCTAATTGCCCTTAAACTGAATGTCTTCATTGGGTAGCTCGGAGCTTGAAATCTGGAGTCACATGTATGACAAATTTCCTTCTCTAAAGGATATTAGGGAACCAGATGGATTTTTTGACATTGAGTGATAGTTTTATAGTTGACATGCTTTTAATTCCAGTATTAGCAATTAAATTCCATCAGTTACCATTGTGGGATTTGAACTCATATCTCTAAAGAATTAGCCTGGACATTTGGATTTCTAATGCACTGATATTGCAGCTATGCCACCATCTCCTTTAAGATCTGAGCTCCCTGAGTACATTATACAGCCTTCTTCTGTCTTTTAAAGAGTGGGTGACGCCTTACTCCATAAATTCAGTGATACAATGTACCAAATGACTGATCATTGTTTCTGTCATCCTGCAGCAGTCCCACTGGGAATTATTGTCATTCACGGAGACTGTGACCTAGAGACCTGTCGCAGGTATATCGACCGACTACAGGAGGTAAAATACAGATTTGTGAGATCTTCATCTTGTGGCGATGTCAGTGACATTTGTATGCATTCCCAGGCTTTAATTGACGAATATGATGAGCAAATTACAGCTGGATGTTTGTAAAATGGTCAAGATTATCGCACCATAACAGGTGTTTGACCTGTTGGCCACAGGCATTGTGACCTGGGGAAGTACTCCCCAACCTGTCTAACCAGAGGCAGAAAACAGAACTCGCAAGATGGCCTTACCAGTGATTTATTGAGGGTGGTGATTGTAGCTTGTCTTCTACCAAAATCCTTCAATTGTCAACACTAATATCTACAGACCTTGTCATTAAATATATTTGGCAGAGCCTTTAGTGCACTGTTGAAATATTGTTTTGCCAGATTTTTCTGTTTGTTTTCCAGGACTTTTACCCACCAACACCCGACGGACATTGGATTCATTACCAGGTAAGCCTGGCCTGATAAGGATGCTTGAGGGTGCCCTTGAATGTGGATATTGATCATTTGCCCTCTCTTGCTTCTTCCCTGTGGGGTTGGAGATGCCTTCAACACTGCTAAGTAGACCTTGGCGTTGGAAATGTAGCTTTATGCTGCAGAGATGGTTGTATGTGCCAGCTCTGTGTTTAAAACCAATTGCGTATTTTTCATGATTCAGTCATGTTCCACTCATCATTGCTTACAGTTGTTGGCATGGGAGATTTCCCATGTTTCTGCGGCACTGAATAAGGCTCATGGCTGGCAGGAGGACAGATGCAGGAGGTGAAAGTGAAGATGAAGGAGAGAAAAGGATGCAATTGGAGATTGGTATTTTGGATTTGGAAAAATGGGAGATGCCACAATAACTGAAAGAGAGGAAGAGTGCTAATGTTCAGTAACAGATTGGAGAGTGCCAGAGTTCATTAACAGTGTAGACAGTGCCAGAGTTCACTAACAGTGTGGAGAGAAATGGTGCTTACTAATAGTGTGGAGAGATCCAACATTCACTGATGGTGAGGACAGTTCCAGTGTTCATTGACAGTGAGGACAGTTTCAGTGTAACATTTGCACTACACAAATGCCAGGCAATTACTATCTCAAATAAGAGAAAATCTAACCACCCCCCCTGATATTCAATGATGTTAATGAATGAATGAACTTCAATGAATCCCCCTACTACCAACAACCTGGGGGTTACCTTTGACCAGAAACTCAAATGGACTTGCTAAATAAACACAGTGGCTGAAAGAGGAGGTCAGAGGCTAGGAATACTGAGGTGTGTAACTCCCCTCCTGATTCCCTGAAGCCTAGCCACCATTAAGAAGCCCAAATCAGGTTGGAATGCTCCCAATTTGGCTGGATGGGTACAGCTCCAGTAACACTCAAGAAGCTTGACATCATCCAGGGCCAAGTAGCCTACTTGATTGGCACCATATCGACAAGCATCCACTCCCTTCACACTTGCGCTCAGTAGCAGCAGTGTGTACTATCTACAAGATGCACTGCAGAAATTCACTGAAGATCCTTAGAGAGCACCGTCTAAACCCACAATAACTTTCCACCAAGGAGGACAAGGGCAGCAGATACATGGGAACACCACCACTTGCAAGATCCCTTCCAACTCACTCACCATCCTGACTTGGAAATATATTCCTGTTCCTTTGCTGTCACTGCGCTGTGTCAAAATTCTGGAATTCCTTCCTTCAGGGCATTATGGGTCAACCTACAGCACATAGACTGCAGTGGTTCAAGAAGGCAGCTCAACATCATCTCATCAATGGAACTAGGGATGGGCAATAAATGCTGGCCAGCCAGGAACACCAATGTCCACAAATGAATTAAAAAATAGTTTTCGCTGACAGTGAGGAGAGTTCTAACATTCACTGAAGGTGAGGAAGGATGTGGAAATGTAAAGAGACAAGATAGGAGCAGGAGTTGGCCATACCAAGGGTCAATACGAAGAGGACCAGCTCTCATAAGTTGCCAAGTACCTGTGCCTTCGGAAGGTCAGGTCCTCATGTCAAGTCAATGCTGATAACTGCAGCTCACAGTGGGCTCAGTGAGTGTGCATGACGTTATGAGAACAACCCGTTGTGAGAAAGAGATTTTGTTGAGATGAGAGGAAGGCAACATTTGTAGAAAGTAACAATGAGGGCAGGGGATGATATGACTTTGAAGGAAGAGTGATTGAGTAGTGGCCTCTCCATTGGGAATATGTGTGAGTGCAAGTTTTCGTTATCATGAAGAGCGTATGCAGGAATCCCTGGGAAGGTCAGAGTGTGGAGATTGATACCTGGAAGTTCTATCCCCCTCATTTTCCCACCCTCCTACATTCGTATATTCTCTTGGGATACTCTCTCCACTTTTCTGCTCTTAACTTCTTCAGCCATGTTTTCTTCATCAGACAAGTTTCTGTCCTCCTCGGTGAGCTCACCATGCTGAACTCCCTTAGCTCCTGCAGCAAGACCTCCAGGAAGGAGAGACGACCTTGGGGGTAGGGGTGGAGGTGAAATGGCCCTCACTGGTCTCCTTTCCCGTTCTGTAATTGCTGGAGCTTCGGGAATCAGAGTATCAGCGAGTTATTGGAATCTACATCAGCGTCCCTTTAACTAGAAGTTCTTCCTTTGACAAACTGGATGTGTCAGGCCAGGAAGCTCAGAGATAGGTCACCAAGAGCATTGCTTAGTTAAGGAGGCTCAGCGAATCCCACTGGATGTCTCCATAATGTCCCAGACCCCTGATGACCTCATTATTTTGGCAGGGATTTTCAGTTGAAAATCCCACTCCATGTGACCTTCTCACTGTTTGTATTTTTTCTGCAGAGCTTTGCATCATGAAGTGACCTTGCATAGAAACAAAACTTTGGAGCAGGAGTACGCCAGTCAGACCTTTGAGCTTGCTTTCCCCATTTAATATGAGCATGGCCGATCATCCAATTCAGTCCCCTGCTCCTGCTTTCTCCACAGCACCCTTTGATCCCTTTTGCCCAAAGAACTATATCTAACTCCTTGAAAACATTCAGTGTTTTGTCTTTAACCCTGCTTTCCATATCACAGAATTCCACAGGATGACCATTCACTGGCTGAAGAAATCTCTCCTCGTCTTAGACTTAAATGTCCTACCTGGTATCGTTAAACTGTGACTCATGGTTCTAGACAGGAGAACATTGGGAACATCCTTCCTGTGTTTATTCTGTCTAGTTCTGTCTGAATTTTATAGGTTTCTATGAGGTCCCCTCCTCCTTCTTCTAAACTCCAGTGAGTATAATCCTAACCGATCAAGTGATTCTTCATACGTCAGTCTTGCCATCCTAGGAATCATTCTGGTAAGCCTTCATTGCAATTCCTCCATATGCAGTACATCCAAACTCAGATAAGGAGACCAAAACTGCGCGCACTACTCTGGGTATGGTCTCACCAATGCCCTGTACAACTGCAGCAAGGCATCCATGTTCCTGTACTTGAATCATCTCACTATGATGGCCAATATATCATTTGCTTTCTTCGCTCCATTATTCAAAAAGGAAGGTAGAGAGAAAATAGGGAATTATAGACCAGTAAGCCTAACATCAGTAATGGGGAAAGTTATCGAATCCATTATCAAGGAGCTTATAGCTGAGCATTTAGAAAGCAGAGGCAGGATCAGGCAGAGTCGGCATGGAATTATGAAGGGGAAATCATGCTTGACAAATCTGTTGGAATTCTATGAATATGTAACTGGTAGCGTTGACAAGGGAGAGCCAATCGGTGCAGTATATTTGGACTTTCAGAAAACATTTGACAAAGTCACGCATAAGAGATTATTGTGCAAGATTAAAGTGCATGGGATTGGGGAAAGTGTATTGAGATGGATAGAAAACTTGTTGGCAGAGAGGAAACAAACAGTAGGAATTAACGGGTCCTTTTCAAGTCGGCAGGCAGTAACTAGTGGGGTGCCACTATACACAATATATATTAATGATTTGGATGAGGGAACAAAATGTAATATCTCAAAGTTTGCAGATATGATACCAAGTTGGGTGGGAGGGTGAACTGTGACGAGAATGCAGAGATCCTTCAGCATGATCTGGACAGGATGGGTGAGTGGGCAAATCAATGGCAGATGCAGTATAATTTGGATAAATGTGAGGTTATTCACTTCGGAAGCAGAAACAAGTAGGCAGATTACTACCTGAATGGCTGTAAATTGGGAGAGGGGAGTGTGCAGTGGGACCTGGCTGTAAATTGGGAGAGGGGAGTGTGCAGCGGGACCTGGGTGATGACAGACATGAGTATCTGCTCCTGATCATTAGGGAGTATATTCTTACAGTCCTTCCAATTGCACTATCACAGAGGGAGATATAGCAAAGGTGTCAATCCATGTTAACAATACTAATGCTGCCAGTGGGAGCATCCAGTATCATGGCACCTATAACAGACCCAAAGTGGGCACAATTTCTTTGTTATTTGTCTTCAATTTGCAGACATTGAGTTTTTCTTTATTTTCAGAACAGTGACGCTTCCCAACGCCGAATGTTGTCTTCGCAGAATCTTTCTTCCAAATGGTGCTTCCTAGATTGTGAGTAGCCCCAGATGAACTGCAATAGCAGTGTTATCCCTTACCCTTCATTCTTGTTCTTCTCACCCTATGAGTAAGACTTGCAGCATCAAAAGGATCAATTGTTCTTCATTCATTATCATTAGCAATCCATCAGTGAGGATCACACCATCAGTAGGGTGCCATGTTTTCCATTCATGCCATCACTGGGGTTCACATTATCAACATATTTCTTCTTTATTCATTAACTATGAAAAACAGTCAACAATATCAGTCAGAGCTAAGTATGCCTACTTTTTTTTTACTTTGAGTAGCTTCCTCCACTGATGTCCCCACAATTAACATACTCCGAGACTTAAAGTAATCCTCCATATTAATCTGCTTAGAATGCTAATACAGCTCATAACAATTGCTTCTCTGAGCTATTCAGGTAATACTCATCCTTGAGTACTGAGTCTACCCTAGCAACCACTGTTAACGTGCCCGTGAACAACATTGCCCGCTACAAACATTAATCTAAGCAGACCCGGGCCCAAATGCTAATGCATCTTTCAGACTCTGATCTGCTTCCACATCAGAGCATGCCCACAGAGATTGTTGCATGCCACTCAGCTAATGTACCAATGTGCCTCAAACGTTAATGCAGAAAAATTCATCCGGTGACCCGCATGGCCACAGATTCGGAAGAACAAGCACACCATGAGGCTTCAGACAAATTTGTCTTCAACTGTCGGTCTGGGGTCTGATACATGAATGGGGCTGGTTTGCTATTTACAGTACAGTAAAAAGTGTAGTATGGGAAACTTGGGAGAAGGCCTAGTGGTATTTTGGCAGGATTATTCATCCTGAAAGCCAGTTCTGCGGACCCAGGTATGAATCCTGATTGGAAGATGGTGGAATTTGAATGCAATATATTAAAAAAAATCTGAAATTGAGAGTCTAATGATGATCAGGAAACCGTTGTCGATTGTCAGAAAAACTTATCTGTTCATTAATATCCTTTAGAGAAGGAAACTTCTGTCCTTACCTGTTCTGGCGTACATATGGCGTACACAGCAATATGCTTGAGCCTTAACAGCCCTCTGGAGCAATTACGGATGGGGAATAAATGCTGGCCTGGCCGTCAATGCCCACATCCCATGAATGAATAAAAAAACTATTAAGACTAGGGTGTAGAAACAGAGCTCTAATTATTTTGGTGGGGTAACCCAATTATGGAGTGGGCAATGGAGGGGTTTGGAGGAATTCAGCTTGGCTTTTGGGCCAGGAACTAGATTCCTTCAGTTCCTGGTCCCCATGTAGTGTGGAGAAGGCTGGATTAAGTCCTTTTTGAAGTCTTTCCAAGGTGCAAGCTTTCTTGCATGCTTAAGTCTTCAAAATCTGTAACAGGTTTGTATGAAATGCCTCTTCGATTTTTACTATAGGTGTCACATGTAATGTGAAAGGGTGAAAACAAAATAGGGAAACAACCATCCAGCTGAGACTTTGTTGAGTCCCAGCTATAATGCTGGACATCACAATTTCACCCCATCATTCGTTTCACTTCTCTCTTTGTATTCAAGAGAATATATCCTGCCATAATAATTTTAACAGCACAGCATATTTAAAGCAAAGATATTTTGTCTTTTGGTTGTTTATTTCATAAATTTTTCATTAGTGTTCTTTTGACTGTAGTTTTTTATGGCTTCTACCTCTTTGGTTCCCGCCTCTTTGATTCCCACCTGTTTGATTCCCATCTCTTTATATGTCTTACCTGTGATTTTGTCAGCGCTCTCAGCTTTAAGCTTTTAAGCTTTATTGTATTTCTCAAACTACCACTTCAGTCTTTGAGTCTGTGCTTCACGTTTGTTTTCACTTCTTTTTATCTCTGCAGCAACTTCTCTGGACCGCTTCTACCGCATTGACAGAGCCCAGGTATGAAACGTGAGCTGGCAGCGCCCATGTTATTGCCACTTGCTTCTTATTACCGTTCATACAATCCTATCACTCTGAGTTATCTGGAGCATGCAACAAAGAATAAAGAAATCACTTGTAACAAGTAGCAAAGTAGGTGGGTAAGGGGAGGAGGGTGGCTCAGGGGATGATATCATGATGATATTTTGTCAGGAAGGGGGTAAGATTGGGCTGGGAAATCAGGTCAGGGGAATGCAGAGGTGGGGGGATATGTTTAAGAGCAGTGACGGGTCTGTATGGGTTGGTGGTTGGGTCAGGGGAAGTTTCAAGTCAGGGGTCATTACCAATTTAGAGGGGGGTTGGTTCAGATCTAGTGTCAGGTGGGACGAGTGCGGTTGGTGCAGAGTGTGGTCGGTGGTGAGCAGGTTCTGATTCGTGTAACTGGTCAGAACTGTCCAAAGGATGCAACTCTGACTTAGAATTGTAAACTTTTTTGTTGTGTTCCAGATATCTGTAGTTTAACCTTCCTGGATAGTTCCTGAGTAGTCAGTGAGTCAGGGCCTCCAAAGAGACCTGTAGCCCATCTTTCACTAAGATGTTGTTGTCTAACTACTGCCTGTGAATCAGAAGATCTGTGCCATGATTGTGTGTGGTTTAATGTCTCTGAGACAGCAGGATTTGCTTCACCATGTGACCTGAGGGTTGCTTCAGGAGTTTGTATGAGCTGAGCTCACGACTACAGCATTGTTCCTCCTATCTGGGAACAGTTGTCCTTTCAGTCTTTGCCTAACTTCAACTCCCCACTAATCAACCTGTTCAAAGATGTTATTACACACCTCTGGAGCAGGAGTTAATTGAGCCTTGCCCTTTGGTTCAGAAGTAAGTACACCATCACTGCACCACCAGAGCCTCCTCCCATTGTAGCTTTATGCGCCTTGGTTAAATAAGACATAATTCTCCCTTCATTTAGGTAACTAATGAGGTCCTCCAGCAATAGGTGACAATAGTGAGGGAGGGCACCAACGAGAGTAACTGGAGCAGTTGTATGGGGACCTCCAACAACTGGAAGCAACAGTAAGGGAGTGCTGTAGCTGGGCATCTGGAGTTGTCAAATGGACACTCTTTGAAGGAAAGGATGTCTTTACGTGAAGGAGGCAACATAGGTAGAAGGATCAGGCAGACAAAGGATTTCATCAACTATATGTGAGCTTAAGTTTCCGTAAGTACTGTGTTGTCCATGTTTAGTCCTAATTTCCCTTCATTTTTGTAATGATCTGATGCCAATGGAATAAAGAATCCCTACTTCATGATCTTTGGGCCAGCTGTGTGTTCAAATTTCACACTACATTCCATAATGAAACTTCAAATGGTCCAGATAAAGGCATTCTGATTTGTGTTATTTACAGTTGTAAGTTTGATTCTACCTGGCAATTGGCAAGCAGGGCATCAACTGACCCATTGTATCTGTGAGTGTGGGCTATCCTTCTCTCTGAATATTGATTGGCATGTTGAAGGTGTCCATACAACATCCAGTTATTATCTGTCATGTTTGGTTATTTGTGTGCTTGAGTGACTTAGACAGGTAATCCCAGAGTCACAGGACAAAGTTTTCCCAAGAAAGGATGTTCTTGTGTCAGGTTTCTGCCCAATCTTCTAACACATACATTGTTTCTCCATAGCAGCCTTTATGTGATCAGTTTCAAAATGTATTGTGGCTTGATGGTTGAGGCATTGCCAGATGGCATGGTTTGTTACAAGTTCCTCCCACGTTTTAATGCTGGGATACCCAGTATTGAGTAATCCTTCAGTGAAGTTATTCTTATTAATAATGGCTATCACATAATTTAATCCCAATGGAAATCTTTTATGACAAACTGATAACCAGGAAGATCTCTTGTAGTACTCGGCATAAAAGCTGTTTTGAAGGACTGTAAAATCAGACCTCTATAAGCAGGACTAACCTACTCAAGATAAGTCGCCATGGTGAGGAGCTATCTGTGTAGGTACCTCCTGTAGTGAGGCCATTATTTTAATACAGGGGAACACCAGCTGAGGAGGTCTCACTTGACAGATCAGATATATCTGGGATAGACAGTTTCATCTGTAGTCACCCATGCTAAGAACTGATAATCTTCCTGCTCCTTCTCCAGTATCAGCTGATGAATAAATATCAGGTAGAAATGCCACCACATTCTTTACATTGTCAATGATTGGTTGCACATCCTATAGCCTCATTTTTGTGACCAGATTAGGTCTTTCCAATGGGCTTCTAGCCCACCCCTGAACAGTTTGCATTTTACCCTGTGGGACATCTTGCTGTGTAGGTTGTGTATGTTCACCAGATCGAGAGAGCAGCTGGAACAACCGCAGACCAACCCCATCCCCAACCAATATTCAGTTGTCAGGACACCTTAGGGCACTTCCATTCAAGATTTTTACAGTTTCACTTTGCAATTAGACTTTATAATTCAGTTCTGAAACCTGTTTCTTCTTCTGTCTTTATGCTTCACAAATCTTTACTCATAAAAACCTGTTTTACAATTTTGAAACAGCATGTTGTTCATTTTGATTAAACCCGGGATAAAATCCAACAGTGATTTACCATTAATGAAGGTCCACCATTAAGACTAGGATAAATCCAGCAGTTTTTTTAATTCATTTGTTAGATGTGGGTGTGCCAGCGTTTGTCACTCATCCCTATTTAGTCTTCAGAAGGTGGTGGTGACTTCCCTCCTTAAACTACTGCAGTCCATGTGCTATAGATAGACCCACGATACTGTTAGGAAGGAAGTTCCAAGTCAAGGAATGCTGATATATTTCTAAGTCAGGATGGTGAGTGGCTTGGAGGGAACTTGCAGGTGGTGATCATCCCATATATCTGCTGCCCTTGTCCTTTGAGATGGCAGTGTCTAAAGAGCTTTGGTGAATTTCTACAATCCATTTTGTACATCGCATCTTACACATTGTTACTGCTGGATATCAATGGAGTGGATATCTGTGGATGTGGTACCAATCAAATGGGCTGCTTTGGCCTGGATGGTTTCAGCTTCTTGAGTGTTGTTGGAGCAGCATTTATCCAGGCAAGTGGAGAGTATTACTTCGCACTCTAGACTTGTGCCTTGTAGATGTTGAATAGTTTTTAGGGAGCCAAGAAGTGAATTACTTGATGCAGAATTCCTAGCCTCTGACCTGTTCTTGTATCCACTGTATTTATATGGCTGATCCAATCCAGTTTCTTGTTCAGTTTCAAAGGTAACCTCCAGGATGTTGATACTAGGAGAATTCCATGGTAGTAATGCTATTGAAGGGACAATGATTAGATTCTCTCTTGTTGGAGATGGTCTTTGCTTGGCACATCTGCAATGCAAATGTTTCTTGTCACTTGTCCAGAGCTTGCTGCATTTGGACATGGAATGCTTCAAATTCGGAGAAGTCACATATGGTGCTGAACATCACTACTTTTGACCACATGATAGAGGGTTGGTTATTGATGAAGCAGCTGAAGGCAGTTGTACATGACCCTGAGGAACTATTGCAGAGATGTCATAGAACTGAGATGACTGACCTATGACTCCAACCAGCAGAGAGTTTGATTTTTCCCTGATTCCCGTTAACTGCAGTTTTGCTAGGGCTCCATGATGCCACAGTAGAATGTTATATCAGACCTTAATCACTTTACCATCCAACCAGAGCTGAATTAGCATCTACATCACTGGGATATGTTAAAGCAGACATTGTATTAAAATCAGCATGCAAACTTAGAAAATTTGTGAGCTGACCATCAGGACTTCCCCATATATCATGACTTCTTACATTGCCTCCTGGTTATGACCCATTGCATAGTCATGTGAACATTTGGGAAGGGAAAGAAGAAGAAAACAGGAAAGAAACTTAAGTCAAGAAGGGAAGCTTTGTTCTGGTAAATTCCAACTCCTTCAGACTTTTGACATGATATTTACCCCAGTCAAGCTTGAAAACAAGGATCTGAAATGCAGTTCATTTCTAAACCACTTATTTAATGTAGCTGGAATTTGTACAATGCAGATTATGAAACAATATAGTTTAAAAAACAAGATGGGCTAAGTAAAAACAACAGGCAAGAGTTTGGATGCAGTTGGTCATCTAGCTTCTTTCCTCCAGTTGCTCCTTAAACTCATTTGCACATCAATAAACACAATTTGCTGCTGGGTAGTACCTCAAGAATTGCTGAATAAAACATCCTGCTGAAGCTATCCATCCATTCCATTGTGGTCAATTTAGGTACCAATGACATGGGTAGAAAAAGGAAAGTGATTCTGTTGAGGGAATATGAGCAGCTAGGGGCTAAATTTAAAAAGCAGAACCAAAAAGCTAATAATTTCTGGATTACTACCTGAGCCACAAGCAAATTGGCACAGGGTCAACAAAATTAAAGAGGTAAACACGTGGCTCAAAGATTGGTGTGGGAGAAAGGGGTTCAAATTCATGTGAAAAGACCAAAAAAACGGCAGATGCTGAAATCCAACCAATTTCAAATAACCTTTCCAGTCATGCCCCGCCTCCCTTTCCAGCCCCACCTCCTCCCTTCCATTCCACCCTCTGACCCTCCCTTCCAGCCACCAACCAGATTCATCCCTCCCATCGACCAACCAGGCCGTACCTAGCACCACTGTCCACCTATCACCCCCATTCTGCCTCCACCCCTTCCACCCCCCTCTTTATCTGCAGCTCCCCCTACCCCCACATCCATTCCTGAACACGGGTAATACCCGAAATGTTGACTGCTCCTTTCCTCCAGATGCTCTCTGGCCTGCTGTGTCCTTCTAGCTTCCGGTTTGTCTACCTCAAATTCATGGAACATTTGTGTCAGTACTGGGGAAGGAGCAAGCTGTTCCAATGAAACGGGCTCCACCTGAAACATGCTGGGACCAGAATTCTTGGGAGGTAATTTGGGAGGCACAGCAGAAATTCATCCATGGAAGACGAAACATATGAAGGGAAGGATGAGGCAACTATGGCTGATGAGGGGAGTCAGGGACAGCATCAAAGCAAAAATAAAAGCATACAATGTCGTGAAGAGTGGCAAGCCAGAGGATTAAGAAGCCTTTAAAAACCAGAAGAAGATAAATAAAAAAAGCAATAAGTGGGTGGAGGGTGGGGGTGTTTGCTGAAGATGAAATATGAGACTAAGCTAGCTCGTAACATAAAAGATGATTGCCACAGTTTTAGATATCTAAAAGGTAAGAGAGAGGCAGTAGTGGGCATTGGACTGCTGGATAATGAGGCCGGAGAAGTTGTAATGGGCAACAAAGAAATGGTGGAGGAACTGAATATGTACTTTGCATTAGACAGGAGGCTGCTAAATAAATCAAGAGCCCATGGTGTTAAGGACAAGGTACTACTATGATATAAGATTGGCCAACTGTCAGAAGGCAGAGAGAAGGGATAAAGAGGTCTTTTTCAGGGTAGCTGCCAGTGACTAGTGGAGTTCCACAAGGGTCAGAGTTGGGTCCACAAGTGTTCACGTTTTACATTGACATGTGGACGAAGAAACTGAGGGCATTGTTGCTAAGTTTGCAGGTAACACAATGATAAGTGGAAGGACAGGAATTGTTGAGGAAGCGCAGAGACTGCAGGAGGACTTGGACGGGCTAGAAGAGTGAGCAAAGAAATGGCAGGTGGAATACAATGTAGGAAAGTATGAGGTTATGCCCTTTGGTAGGAAGAATAGAGGCATAGGCTATTTTATAACAGGGAAGAGCTTTGCAAATCTGAAGCACACATGGACTTAGGAGTCATAGTTCAGGACTATCTTAAGATTAACATGCAAGTTTACTTGGCAGTTAGGAAGTCAAATGCAAGGTTAGCATCCATTCCAAGAGAGATAGAATACAAGAGCAGAGATGTACTGCTGAGGCTGTATAAGGCACTGGTCAGACCCTATTTGGAATATTGTGAGCAGTTTTGGGCCTCATATTGAAGGAAGGGTGTGCTGACATTGGAGGGGGTCCAGGGCAGGTTTACAAGAATGTTTCTGGGGATGAAGGGCTTGTCATATGAGGAGCAGTTCGTGGCTCTGGTTCTGTACACATTGGAGTTTAGAAGGATGAAAGGGATCTGATTGAAAGTTACAGAATACTGAGAGGCCTGGATAGAGTGAAGACATGGAGATGTTTTCACGAGTAGAAGAGACTAAGACCAGCGGTTAATCTGTGGAACTCATTGCCATAGAGGGCTGTGGAGATCAAGTCATTGAGTATATTTAAGACAGAGATAAAGAGGTCCTTGTTTGGTAAGGGGATCAAAGGTTACAGGCAGAAGACTGAAGAATGGGGTTGAGAAACATATCAGAAGTGATCGAATGGTGGAGCAGACGCAATGTGCCAAATGGCCTAATTCTGCTTCCATTTCTTATGATCTGATCTTGCAATCGCCAGGACAGGATTCATGGAATACCAGATCTCAGTGGGAACAGCAATTTATACTGCATCAGGTATAATGCTCAAACTCTGTCAGGGAGCACTTTAAATTATCCCCTTTTTTAAAAATAACTATAAGTAATTCCTTGATAAGGAGACTGGCTACTTGACCAAGTTTTTAGAAATATTCGAAAATAGATTTATCACAAAAAAATAAGCAATTTCAATCAGAGTGCCGTGCTGCCACCTGTGCATTTTCAATAATTAAAAATTATTTTTATCTCCAAATAAATGAATTTATTAGTGAAATTGGTGTGAAATGTTCTTAATTTATTAATAAATAATATAATAATTGACTTTGCAAATGTAGTATGCAAAATAATTACCATAACTTTTGGAGCCTTCTTGAAGGTTGCAAACTAGCAGAAATTCCCTATGATGATTATTTTATCCTGGGGTTGTAGGAGAGGGCTATCTGGCTATAGTGCCACATATTAAACTAGTGGAAAATCGATTGGCATTGAACATACTTTGTGCTTTGAATTCATTTCCTGTGGTTGAAGCAGAAACTGCGTTGGGATCTAGCATAGGCTTTTCCTGAAATATTCTGTCAGTATTTCAGAGATCTTGCTGAGTATGTTCAAACTGTATTCATTTTAGTGTAGCTGTACCTGAAGTACAGCTTGTAACTCGTTATCAATTAATCATGGGATGTAATTGCGATCGTGATCAATAATTAACTGAGCTTTAAGAATATCAGAACATCAATAATTACTTAATAATTAAGTATACTAGAAAAGATAGATCCATTTATGAATAATTGATTGTTGATAGTTAAGAGAATTCTAAGATGTGAATGGTTTTCCACTTTTTCTCAGGAGCACCTCCACTTTGTAACAGAAGTGGCTCAAGATGAACTTTTTATTCTGGATCCAGAGATGGTGGCCGTACAGAAAAATGTGACATCCCCTGGAATGCCAGACCTGGTGGTGGATCCACCGCAAGCGTAAGTTTTCTACCCACCCCCACTTCAACCATGAACCAACCTCTGACCAACAATTCATTTCTTCCTCCCAACTTTGTTTAGCCCATCCATTCTCATGGAATATGGTGTCATGGGACCCACCCTGCATCTCTCCCATGTGGCCATTTCTTTCAGTTGCTGGCTGGACTTTTTCTAGGCTCTTTGACCATGTTAGTAATCACAGCTAAACCCTACCATGACACCTTGGCAGACATTTTCCAACATTCAACATTCACAACCAATTTTCACCTTCCTAACCTCCAAGCATATTAAGTTCAGTTCCTAAATAGGACCCACCTGTCTACTGGGCAGTATTAGCTGACCTCCAACAGACCAGGAATAAAACTTAGGTCCCCATATAGTGTTTAGTTCAACTGATGAATAACCATTTGAGTAATCCAGGAAACTCTGGGGAATGAGGGAGGCTTTGCTTCATTTTTCACAAGATGTAAGCATCGCATATTCCCCATCCTAAACTGACAGTCCCTAGTTGCCCTTGAGAAGGTATTGGTGAGCTGCCTTCTTGAACCATTGTAGTCCATGTCCTGTAGAGGGACCCACAGTGCCCTGAGGGAGGGAGTCCTAAGATTTTGACCGAGCAACACTAAAGGAATGGCAATATATCTCCAAATCAGGATGGTGAGTGGCATGGAGGGAACTTGCAGGTAGGTATTCCCATGTATCTGCTGCCCTTATTCTTCTGAAAGAAGTCATGGGTTTGGAAGGTGCTGTCTAATGACCCTTGGTCAATTTCTGCAGTACATCTTGTAGATGGCGTACATTGCTTTCACTGCTGTGTCATTGGTGAATGTTGATGGCGGTGAATGTGATGCTAGTCAAGCAGATGCTTTGTCCTGGATTGTATTGAGCTTCTTGAGTTATTGGAGCTGCACTCATCCAGGCAAGTGGGGAGTAGTCCATCAGATTCCTGATGACTTGTAGATGGTGGATATGCTTTAGGGAGACAGGAGGTGCGTTACGTTACTGGATTCCTAGCCTCTGACGTATTTTTAGCCACTGTATTTATATGGTTAGTCCAATTCAGTTTCTGGTCAATGGTAACCCCCAGGATGTTGATAATGGGGAATTCAGTGATGAGAATGTCTTTGGAAGTAGTGAGGGCTACAGGGCTAACTGACCAGGGCACCAGGGCAGGAAACCATTCAATTTTGGGAATCAACGAGGAATGTGGCGATTGTAACGAGCAGTACAGTGAAGGAATTGACACTGTTCTCTGCAGCAAAGAGCAAAAGTCAGGAAGGTTGTGTTACCTACATAGTGCCAGGGTTTGGGAGATTTCCTCAAGACTGGAGAAGAACTTGCTGTGAGAGGGGGAGGATCTGGTCATTGTGGTCCATCTAGATGCCAGTGACATAAGAAGGACAAGGGAAAAGGTCCTACTTAGTCAGTATGAGGAGCAACGTATTAATTTAAGAAGCAGCCCTCATAGATCATAATCTCTCGTGTACTACCTGATCCACATGTAAGTTGACATAGGGCAGTTAAGGTTAGAGAAGTGAATGCATGACTTAAAGATTAGCATGGACAGCATGGTGGCTCAGTGGTTAGCACTGCTGCCTGACAAGGCCAGAGACCCAGGTTTGATTCCACCCTCGGGTGACTATCTGTGTGGAGTTTGCACATCCTCCCTGAGTCTGCATGAGTTTTCTCCGGGTGCTCCGGTGTCCTCACACAGTCTAAAGATGTGCAGTTTAGGCGGATTGTCGATGCTAAATTACCCATAGTGTCCAGGGTTGTGCAGACTAGGGGGATTAGCCACAGCAAATGCAGGGTTATGCAGATAGAAACATAAAAGGTAGAAGCGCGAGGAGGCCATTCATCCCTTAGAGCCTGCTCCACCATTCATCACGATCATGGCTGATCGTCCAACTCAATAGCCTAATCCTGCTTTCTCCCCATAACCTTTGATCCCATTTGTCCCAAGTGCTATATCTAGCTGCCTTTTGAATACATTCAATATTTTGGCATCGAGTACTTCCTGTGGTAATGAATTCCACATGCTCACCACACTTTGGTGAAGAAATGTCTCCTCATCTCTGTCCTAAATGGTCTACCCCGAATTCTCATACTGTGACCCCTGGTTCTGGACATGCTCACCATCAGGAACATCCACCCTGCATCTACCCTGTCTAGTCCTGTTAGAATTTTATAAGTCTCTATGAGATTCCCCCCTCATTCGTCTGAACTCCACCGAAAACAATCCTACCGTAGTCAATCTTTCCTCATACATCCGTCCTGCCATCCCTGGAATCAGCCTAGTAAACCTTTGCTGAAATCCCTCAAGAGCAAGAGCATCCTTCCTCAGGAGATCAATATTCTAGGTGTGTCCTCACCAAGGCCCTGTATAACTGCAACAACACATTCCTGTCCCTGTACTCGAAATGGCTCGCAATGGAGGCCAACATACCATTGCCTTCTTTACCACCTGCCGCATCTGCATGCTTACCTTCAGTGACCGGTGCACAAGGACACCCAGGTCCAGCTGCACACTCCCCTCTCCCAATTTACAGCCATTCCGGTAGTAATCTGCCTTCTTATTTTTGTTTCCTAAGTGAATAATGTCACATTTATCCGAATTACACTGCATCTGCCATTAATTTGCCCACTCGCCCAACTTGTCCAGATCATACTGAAGGATCTCTGTATCCTCGTCACAGTTCACCCTCCCACCCAACTTGGTGTCATCTGCAAACTTGGAGATGTTGCATTTTGTTCCCTCATCCAAATCATTAATATATATTGTGAATAGCTGGGGTCCCAGCACCGATCCCTGTGGCACCCCACTAGTTACTGTCTGCCAATTTGAAAAGGACTCATTAATTCCTACTCTTTGTTTCCTTTCTGCCAACAAGTTTTTTATCAATCTCAATACACTTTCCCCAATCACGTGCACTTTAATCTTGCACAATCATCTCTTATGTGGGACTTTGTCAAATGTTTTCTGAAAGTCCAAATATACTGCACCGATTGGCTCCCCCTTGTCAACTCTACCAGTTATATCTTCATTGAATTCCAACAGATTTGTCAAGCATGATTTCCCCTTCATAAACCCATGCTGACTCTGTCTGATCCTGCCACTGCTTTCAAAATGCTCCGCTATAAAATCCTTGATAATGGATTTGAGGATTTTCCCCACTACCGATGTAAGGTTTACTGGTCTATATTTGATATTTTCTCTCTATCGACCTTTTTGAATATTGGAGTAATATTAGCTACCCTCCAATCTGGGCACTGTTCCAAAGTCTGTGGAATCCTGGAAGGTGACCAGCAATGCATCCACTATTTTCAGAGCCACATCCTTAAGTACTCTGGGATGTAGATTATCAGACCCTGGGGATTTATCCACCTTCAACCCCATCAATTTTCCCAGCACCATTTCTCCACTAATATTGATCTCCCTCAGTTCTTCCCTTTCACTAAATCTTGCATTCTCCAACATTCCTGATGTCTGATTTGTGTCCTCTTTTTGTGAAGACAGAACCAAAGTATGTATTCAGTTGCTCAGCCATTTCTTTGTCCCCTATTATACATTCTCCGTTTTTATCTTTACCAATCTCTTTCTCTTCACATACCTATAGAAACTGTTAGTGTCAGTCTTTATGTTCCCTGCAAGCTTACGTTCATACTGTATTTTCCCCTTCTTAATCAATCCCTTGGTCCTTCTTTGCAAAGTTCTAAACTGCTCCCAGTCCTCAGGCATATTATTTTTCTTGGCCACTCTGCATACTTCTTCCTTGGATAGGATACTATCTCTAATTTTCTTTGTAAGCCATGGATTGGCCCACTTACCCATTTTGCTTTTGTGCCAGTCAAGAATAAACAGTTATAAGATAACAAGGTGTAGAGCTGGATGAACACAGCAGGCCAAGCAGCATCAGAGGAGCAGGAAAGCTGATGTTTTGGGTTCAGGGAGACTATATACCATCCCGGAGTCTCGTTTGTGGCCACAGAGATGCCTCACTCTTCCACTTACAATTGAGTTCCCTATAACCATTGCCCTGGCACACTTTACCCCACCCCTCTGTAGCGGAACCAACCATAGAAAGTTTTTTTTTTCTGAAGAAGGGTCCAGACCCGAAACGTCAGCTTTCCTGTTCCTCTAATGCTGCTTGGCCTGCTGTGTTCATCCAGCTCTACATGTTGTTATCATAGAAAGTGGGGAGTGGGTTTGGATGGGATGCTGTTCAGAGGAGTGGTGTGGACTCAATGGGCCATGTGGCCTGCTTCCACATCGTAGGAATTCTATGATTTTAAGAATGGCTGTTGGGCATAGTGGGAACCGTACAGTAGCTGTGGGATAGTAGGTTTGAAATGTATTAATATGAGAAATGATGGACTGTGACATGAAAAGATAGTGAGCACAAATCTAAGAATAACTTAGATGATACAGGTTGCAAAAATAATAGAAGCACAAAAGTAAAGGCTCTGTATCTGAATACCTGTTAAAAGAAACTGATGAACTGAGTGCAGAAATAGAAATCAATAATAATCCAGTCAGATAGTCTCAATTAATCTAGTCCCATTTGCCAGCATTTGGCCCATATCCCTCTAAACCCTTCCTATTCAGATACCCATCCAGATGCCTTTTAAATATTGTAATTGTACCTGCCTCTGCCAACTTCCTCTGGCATCTCATTCCACATATGCAACATCCTCTGCGTGAAAAGGTTGCCCATCAGGTCCCTTTTAAATCTTTCCCCTCTCACCTTAAACCTATGCCCTCTAGTTTTGAACTCCCCTACCCTGAGAAAAAGACTTTGGCTATACGCCCTATCCATGCCCTTCATGATTTTATAAACCTCTATAAGGTCACCCCTCAGCCTCTGACATTCCAGGTAAAATAGCCCCATCCTATTCAGCCTCTCCTTGGAGCTCAAACCCTCCATTTCCAGCAACATCCTCTATCACTCTATGATGTGAAAACCATTACATGCAACATGGCTGTAGGATGACACAAATTGGGACCTAAATGTTGAAGAGCACTGAACATTCAGGAAAGATCCATAGCTAGGAAAAGGTGGAGTGGTGGCTCAGTTTATTAACAATGGTGTTAGCACAATAGAGAGGGATGGCCCAGGTTTGTGAAATCAGGATGTAGAAGCGATTTGTGGAGAGATGAGTAATGACAAAGGCAAGAAGTCACTTGTAGGAGTGTTTTTCACCCCCCTGCACTCTCCCCAATAACCACATGGTAGTATTGAGTATAAAGGTAGGAAAAATGGGAGCCTGTCAGAAAGGTACAGTTATAATCATGGGGGATTTTAAACTACACATAGACTGGATAAACCAGATGTAGCTTAGATGAGATGTTCGTAGAATGTTTTTGAGATAATTTCTTAGAACAGCATTTTCTGGAGATAGCTAGAGAACAGGTTATGCTAATTTATTGTGCAACAAAATGGGATTAATTAATTACTTCATAGTGAACAAAGCTTCCAGATAGCAGCAATAATAGTATGATTGAATTTCACACTCAGTTGAGGGAGGGAAGAGTGGGTCCGAGCCTAGTATTTTAAACTTAACTGAGGGCAGTTATGATGCATGCAAGCGGAGCTAGTTGAATTGATCTGGCAAATTAGGGTATGAGATTTTCCAATGGAGATGTAATGGCAGACTTTTAAGGGGATATTTCAGAATACACAGAACAGATAAATTCAAATGGAAAAAAAAACTCGAAAGGGATTGGAACATTTGGTGTTGCATCACCCATAGTTAAGTAAAATACTTAAAGATCATATCAAACTTTGAGATAACACTGTAATTGTGCAATAACAGTTGGCAGGTCAGAAGATTAGACAAAACATAAAAATAGCAAAGAACAAATAAAAATTAATAAGGAGGGAAAAATTACAGAATGATTGAAAGCGAGCCAGAAATCTAAAAAAAATCGTAATATTGACGTCTAAAAGAAAAGTAGGAAAGTGAATACATAAGTAGGGAGGTTATGCATCAGTTCAACAAGGCTCTGGTGAGACCACATCTGGAATACTGTGTACAGTACTGGTCACCTTAATTAAAAGATGTAAACGCTTTGGAAACCAGCTTAGAGAAGGTTTATCAGACTAATACCTAGGAGGATATGTTATCTTGAGGAGAACTTGGACAGGCTTATCTTGTATCCACTGGAGTTTAAAAGAGCAAGAGGCGACATGATTGACGTAGATGGAATCCTGAAGGGACTTGATACAGTAGATTTGGAGAGGCTATTTCCTCTTATGTGATGATCTATAACTAGGAGTTTCTGTTTAAAAATCAGGGATCACTCTTTTGAAGAGAGATTAGGTGAACTCTTTCTCTCAGAGGATCATTTTCATTTGGAACCCATCTCAAAAGATGGTGGAAGCAAAGTCCTTGATTATTTTTACAGCAAAGGTGAATAGATTCTTGCTAAGAAAGTGTGTGAGAAGTTATCATGGGTAGGTGCGAATATGGATTTGACATTACAATCAGATCGGCGATGATCTTATTACAATGGCGTAGCAGGTTTGAGAAACTGAATGGCCTACTTCTGAGATAATAAGATGTAGAGCTGGATGAACGCAACAGGCCAAGCAGCATCAGAGGAGCAGGAAAGCTGGCGTTTCGGGCCTAGACCCT